ATAAATATTTTCTTGGCCCCCCTTTGATAATTTTGTTTACATAGTGTGACCGTCTAACCGTAGCTTTAGGATTATTTCTCATTTTCGGTTTTCTATAAATAATTCGGACGGTCACTCTAAGACTTACTCAAATGTTCGGTTGCAACGTGTTAAATGACGAAAAGTGAAGTGTTTAAGTTAAATAACAAAAAGAATTTAACGCGATCGGTAAAATGAATGAAGAAGACTGTAATGATGATCTTCACGAACTGTTGAAAAAGTTGGAAATCGAAGAAGTTTACACGTATCTCAAAGGTAAGCAAAGTGCGCGTTTTTTTCTAAAATGTACATATGTATGTATCAAGCAGACGCGTGCAGTTCCGTATATATGTACATATGTGTGTGCCCTGGCGCCACAACGCCGGCATTCACATTATAGTTATTAACTACCTTTTCCTTCAAATATAAAATAAATAAATTTAAAATATGTTTCAAGTTTAATGATACAAAAGTTTAAAAATGAGTGAGTGATTTAAAAGCCGGCGTTGCGGCGCTAGGGCACATATGTATGTACATACATATGTACGAAATGTATTCTAATAAAATGTATGTATGTATATACACAAATGTACATATCGGAACAGAGTTTAAAAAATCAGTCAATATTCGTGGTATTACTTTCATTAGAAATTTCCAATTATAATCGGAATTATTATAATTGATGATTATTTCTGTACCGACACCTGCAGTCTCTCATAGATGTATGTATTTAATTATGTATGTACATTTAAATGTATGCATTTGCATTGAAAGTAATACCGGGGAAATTTGCGCTTTTTTTTAACTTTTTGTCGATATGTACATATGTATGTATGTCGATATCAACTAAACATGCGGATCACACTTACATACGCTAAATTCCTTAGAAAAACTTTTTAATATTAATTGCCAAAAACAGTTATTAGCTAATATCTCATAACCTTACGAAAATTGTTTTTAATGAGTTTAGCGTGCTTATAGCCAACAAGTTATTCTTTTCTTTTACTTTACTTATCTACATAAATTAAAATATTTTTGTGCATAATTTTAGCGGCACAAGCAATACATGTACGACGACGGAATCAAGAAAGCAGTTGCGCCATTAGGTCTGCGCAAGGAGTTTAGACAAAAACTCTACCTATGGAGGAATTCTGAGGTACGTGAATGACTTTATATGTGTAAATATAATTTTAGTAAATATTTTAAATTTTGAAGTAAAAGATTGAAGTCCTTAATGAAACTCAAAAAGGCAAAGCTATACGAAGAAACTCCTCTACTATTCCTAATACTAATTCTAATTCTAATTCACTATTCCAATACTGCAGATGCCCAGGACTTCATAATCGTCACATTGCTGAACGCTGTTCTCTTCCCTCAAGAATGTGAATGGAAAATTAACGCGGAAGGCCACAATATTGGACGCGCAGGAGAGCCAACCAAAACCCTAATGTAAAATTATTTCAAATTTTAAGTTTTGTTAGTTCTAATCAAATTGATTTAAAGCTTAGACAAACACTTTTATTCCTACGAGATAGGTTATCCATCCGACAACGTTAGTATTGTTAACATTAGTGAACTTATTACTTTCCCTTTGCACTCATACAATAAACAATAAACACAATCGTATGTTATACTTAAATACATATACAAGGTTTAAAAAAATTTTTTTTAAAAATATACCAAAACAATAAATACAAAAAATATAAACGATTTTGAAATTTTAATATATCTTGTTTCAAGAACTTTTTTGATTTGTTGTAAGAATTAATGGGGCATAATATAACATTTTAATATTCTTGAATTCAGTACTTATAATATTACTTCTAGAATATATCTTACTAAGATTAAGAACTATACGTTCTTAATTCAAGCCTGCACTTAATTATTTCAAGTACAAATATGTATAGATTTCAGAATAATTCATTGTAAATTTTAGATCTCAGCGTTCTTAAATCGTTCTAAAATCAAGTATTTTCTGTCTTGAAAATTCGTTCTTGAAAGCAGTATTTTGTTCTCAAGATCAGATTTTCGTTGCTTGGCTCACTTTTGACACTCAAAATGCTAGATTCAAGCACGAAATACTTGATTTTTTCTCTGAGTGTACCCAAGAAAGGCATCCTGGTCATAGTTCTCCTCCTTAACTCCATGTTACGTATCCATCACTTCCCCACCCAATGGAAGTGCGCTGTGATATCAATGATACCCGAGCCAGGTAAACCGGAGAACCATGTTGCGTCCTACAGACCAATAAGTCTGCTGACCACATTCTCTAAAATATTCGAAAGAATATTTCTTAGCAGAATGATGGCAGTAAGAAGCGTTGAGGATGCCATTCCAGACCACCAGTTTGGCTTTCGAAGGCACCACGGTACCCCCGAACAAGCTCATCGAGTAACCCAGCACATCATTGAAGCTTTCGAAAACAGGCAGTACAGTTCGGCAATCTTTCTTGGCGTCAAGGAAGCTTTTGATCGAGTATGGCACGATGGCTTGCTCTTCAAGCTAAAAACTCTCTTGCCAACTGGCCAATATCTGCTGTTAAAATCGTACCTTAAAGATCGAAACTTCATGGTTGAATTCAGAGGCGAAAGGTCAACAATCAGAAGCAGCCGAGCTGGTGTCCCTCAGGGTAGTGTACTTGGACCCGTCCTGTATACCCTCTACACCGCTGATCTGCCAAATCCTCGAGAACCGGGTACTCTCTTGGCGACGTATGCGGACGATACTGCCTTTATCTCCAACTCAGCATGTCGCATCGAAGCGTCCCGAATGACACAAAACTTCCTTGATCTATACAGCGAATGGACGACCAGATGGAATATTGGTATAAACGGAAGCAAGTCCCAGCACTTGTCCTGGAGTTAAATGAAGTAAAGCAATCAATAAAGCTGACAGGCGAGCATTTACAGTTCTTCTTAGGATTCGGTAGAATTATATAAATCAACAGTTCTCCTATTGTTTGTTTATTTTGGTAGTAGACCAGTAAACAATAATTAAAGTTAAACACTTGAGTTAGGTTAGGAGTTCTCGCTGTCCGGATAGCCATCTCGGCAGCAGATTCAGCGGGAGGAAGAGGGCGATCAGAACGAGGATGAGAAAAGTCATTCAACTTGATAACTGAAGGGGATTAAATATTTTAAATTCTCAAAACAAATTTGAACTTTGTAATTATCTTAATATTTTTAATAAAATATCTCCTCTGACCAGAATTTATTATTTTAAATTTTGAATTAGTTGTTAAAGATAACATTGTTCATAAATAAAGCACAAAAGAAGCAAAAATAATCATATTTAAATTATTTAGAAACACCTAATCCTATTAAAGCTTAAAAGTTATCGATATTTTGACCATATTGATTCGATAGTATCGAGCTCTTTCCAAAATTGTGCTTGTCCTTATATATAAAATGGCAAGTAACGGTTAAATAATTAACATTGGCCCTTGATGTCCAACCGTCTGACGTTATTGAGCAGTAATTTACACATTTGAAAAGATTTTGAAGACGTTCCTTGCATTTTAAGACGTCATTAGACACACGTTTTGCAAGGCGGTTCTGCTAGGCAATTTGTATTTCGGGTCCAAAATGCTCACCAATTTTTTACATCCGGTTTCTTCTACAATCCGAAAAGGTTGCATGTCTGATACAATTAAGTTCATCACAGCGTTGTCAATTTCAATCTTCCGGGGAGAGTCCTGCTCATAGTGCGAAGGTGTAGTACTCTCGCTTATTTCCGGCTCAAGCAAAGACTGATCTTCGCAGTAAGCATGCTTCCTTCTGAGATGATCCCTTAGGTTTGAGGTGTTGTTGCTGGTCTTATATTGCTTGTTGCACAAAAGACATTTTGCGGTCGTCTTGTCGATTTTTTGGAACCTCTTCCATACATCGGAAGCTCTCGGTTTCCCTTTTTCTTGAGAGTCTACTCGTTGGTTAAGGGGTGTTATTAAATATGGCCGTTCGATATTAACTGTAAATCGACATTCGGCTAACGGTTAATCGGTTTTCTCCCACCTCTTTTATGCCTGGGTGGGTATAAAAGGCCGTGCAGAGAACCATTTCAGTCTCTTTGAATTTCAAAATTCAATCTTTTAATATGTCTCGCGAACAAGACGAGGAATTTAATAATCTAACTAGGGCGGTAAACAATATGGCCGCAGCCCTAATGGCCTCTTACAGGGCAAGGGGCATTGAAGTGGGTGATTTATTACAAAATATTCAGCCGGCTCCATCGCCTTCGAATGGGGGTGTCCGGAGGTCTGAGGCCTCGGGATCTAGGATTAGATCCCAGGTCGGCCGGTCCCGCGATCGACAGCAGGACACTGAGGCCGAGCGCCTCGAATGTTACGTGACGCTCGCAGACCTCCGGAGGAGGGGGCTCCTCGTACTGAGGCCGAAAAGACACAACCAGTGCGAGGAGTGCCGGGCCATCCCCAGGGAAGGCCTAGTAAAGCACTTGGCAGCCGGGTGTAGCAAAGAAAACTTTTCGCTCGGCTGCCACTGTGGCTATATGAGCAACTCTATGTCGGCAATTGGGGCGCACATGAAAATGTGCCGACGCCGCCATAAGAACAGTGCCCCCGACGACATAGTGTTGCTCCGGCAAGCCATAGCCAACGCCAGACCTGGGACAGGGGGATACAACATCATCCCCTGCTCCTGCTTCACAACCAATGGATGAGGAGCAGGAGGCTGTTCTCCTCGAAGAGCTCTTGTCCGCCCTTAAGGGCATCGGAGACAGAGGAGAACAGTTTCCGATCCATTGGTGGGGTGGTAACAGAGCTGTTGTAGACAGAGCTCTGCCCAAAATTGCGTGCTCTCGCGCTCCCTGTTACTCTCTCCCTCTCTGAGTTAATGACGGAGAGCCGGTGTTACGTATAACTTACACTTACGTTTGCTTACGTTTTGACACTTACATCGATTGTGGCAAAAAACATCGATGTCTGGAAAATTTTAAAATCGATGCATCGATGTTTTCATCGAAAACCGATTAGCAATTTCAACCAGAAACAAAACGTGATTTTTTAATTTAATTTTTTGGAAGAAACCCAGCTGTTTTGGCCTCATAAAATGGAGATGATGGTATGCGGTGCGGCAAACTCGAGAAGCTGAACCTAATCAGAGTGTATTTCAGCATGGAGCATCGCTGCTGTCGCGGCCGGCTGATGAGTTTGGCAACGATTCCCTGGTGGAGGAAATGTGGGCATCCAAAGCTTTGGAACACGCCGAGGTTCACTTCAACGTGAGTCCAGTTTGAATAAAGCACGATAATCTCAATTGATCTCAATCTCAATCTCATTAATCAGCTGATCACCAGCATCCATCCCTCCCAGTTGAAACTCACGCCCTACGACGACCAGATATATGCCACCTTCCGGCAGGATTTCCCAGACCTCCAGGTGGGCCGGCTCACCGACGATATCCTCAAATCCGCCACGGAGAAGCTCAGGTGGCGCCAGTTCGCCGAAAAGTTCAACAAGATGGACGACTATTCGTACGGAACCCTCATGCGCGCCGATGCCAGCAAGGAATTCTCCCCGGACAACTCCATCTTCGTGTTCCGAGTCCAGTTCCTCGCCATTGAGATTGCCCGCAATCGGGAGGGACTTAACGATGAGGTCTACAAGACGTACAAGCCAGCCAGAAAGATCCCGGAGGAGGGCCAGTAGTCCGAAGCCTTAGCTTAGATTAAGTTGTAAAGACTAAATACATTTTTAGGTGGTGTTCGTCTAGCTACTATTAAAAGCAATCAAATTATTATTTTAAAAATAAAAACAAGGAATTATTGTTTAATTTTTTTTCTCAATTAATTTGATTTCTGAAAATAAAAACTCGTCATGTATAAAACGTTGATCAATTTGAAATTTATATCAAAGAAACAGGAAGATCGAATATACCTTACTACTAGTACTTGTAAGATCGGTAAGATCTCAACATTTTTAAAAACACGTTAGAAACATATTCGCTTTTATTGGGAAATCGATTCCATTTAATATGTGAACAACAATAAACCCAAGGTTTTAAGATAGAATATTGTCAGCTAAATGTATATATTAAATATATATTTTTGATGGGGATTTGCCTAATTGCTAAATGTATTGCCCACACTTGGTCCATCTTCAGTCTTGCTTTTGGGCGGCACAGTTTTATTTCCTGCCCCCTATTCTCCTCATTTCCATTATAGTCCACCTATAGTCCACTGGTATTGCTGGTCATTAGGATGAACGGAATCAGAGCATCCATCTGCATTTGTCCCACCAAGTTAGCGAAGAACAGCTCCTCCATGGCGTCCGCGTCCAGGCTGCTCAGTGGAAGAAGTCGAGCCACCAGAACATTGAAGCGCTCCTCCGCGCCTCCGATGCCTCCCTGCCGTCTCAAGCTGGACAAAGCGTAGATTTGGACTCTGCGGACATATCCTCGCAACGACCGCTCCTTGCGCTGCTGCAACAGCGAGGGATTAAACAGCAAGATCAGCCGCAGTAGGCCAAACTCGAGGTCAGTGACCTCCAGTGACTGGAGCTCCTGGACAAAGTCGTGCAAGGTCCTGGTGAGATTGGCCATCTTGGAGATCTTAAGCGGTTCGATCTTATCGATATCCGCCAATTGGCGGGTGCTCTGTATAAACTGGCCGATAATTGTGGGCACCGACAGCTGTCCCTGACATTGAGCTAGAGCTATGGCCATCAGAGCTGGCCAGGCTCCCCTCAGAAGCTTGACTTGACTATGGGCATCTAATTGATCGAAAGCGGGAACCTTTCGAAGAGTGTGGATGGTGAGAAAAATAATCCTCGACCCCGTTTCGCACACATAATGGATATTCAAATACGAGTGAACCAGGGTCGGCGGTTGAACATGAAAAGCACACTGCACATCGGTGAGAAGGTCCTGTTCGAAGACAGACTCGTTCACCACAAAATCGCCGGCGCCGCTCCGATTACCACCGCACTCAAAGTCCAGATCCATGTGCTCCAGTTCAGTATCGGCGGCATCCTCGGTGCCGCTGTCCTCCGCCTCTGAATCGCACTCGGGCTTCACACTCATATTGCCACTCCTCTCAAGCTGGTTTTGGATGGGCTGCAGGATCTGCAGTCCCTTGTGGATCACCCGCATATCCAGCGAGCTTTGGATGAGACCCATTGTCGAGGTGGTGGGAAGAGTGGAGGGTGCTTCGCCGGCATTAAAGTTAAGGTGCTGCGAGTTGTTGTTGCTGGCGCTGTTGGCCAGCAGCTGCAGGCACAGCGTGCTGCTGTTGTCCATTGAGTCATCGTCATCCTCGGGATCGGCCTTTGTAATATCTGGAGAGTAGCTGCCACTTTGCTGCTGCTGTTGTTGCTGCTGCTGTTGGGTGGCAAACACTGAAAAGTATATGTAATGCAGGTTGCAATCAGGAAGTATATTTTAAGGTAGGACTTAAGCTTTAGGCTAAAAATTTCTACAATTAAGTAGCAACTACTTTGAACTGAAGCACAAGCTGAACTTACTCAATGTCTGCGTCAGTTCCGCGAAATTCAGGCCCATTGGGAATAGATTCTCGTTCAAATTGAAGGGCGTTGCTGGCGTGCTGTGCACGGGGGGCGTGGCCGCGGCCTCGGCCTTGACATTGTGCCCCTTTCCACGCGCCTGCTGATAGCCGGACTTTCCGGAGAGGTAGGTGGAGGAAGTGCCTCCGCCGCCGGAAGTGGATGAGCCACCCGCAGCGGCGATGATGCCCTCCTTTCTGTCGACTATCGGTTTCCTTTCGTGCTGCACAGCTGCGAATCAAAGTTGCAGAGAACGGAAAGCCATTAAATAGAGCAAGAAGTATGATTAAGATGCGGTTTGATGATTTTCCAGGCGAGGTGATGGTGAGTAAGTGGGTGAGTTGGTTAGTGTGTGTGTGTGTGCTGGCTGGGTATCTTTTGTGCCCCCGCAGCTGCAGGTTTAATTTGTTAGGCAAGTAGTTGCAGGGGATGTTCATGTAAAAGAAGCTAACGATTGTGGTGCAATTAGTTTCGCATGATGCGTTACGGTAAAATGGGCTTGTTATCTGACCCTAACTGCTAGAAAAGCACAGAATTAATATACATACGAATAATAGTTATAAAGCAAATACTGTTGTATGGTTTTGAATTTAAAGTAAACTATGACAACCGAATTTTAAGCTAATCTAAAGCAACCAACCTACATCTCGAAAAGGACATAATATTCTTATAAACGTAAAACAATGAATTCGGTTTATTGGCCCTACTGCTGATCCCTTCTTTTAATCGAACATCCACTGACTTCTCGCATTCACTGCTGCTATAGCCTGCTGGAGCACGTAGACTCTGGCCGGGCCAGAGATTGGTAATAGCTTGAGACGACGACTTAAACGAAAATTACAATCACTTCGCATGCCGCTGGCCAGGCACTTCTGCAGGCGGCAGAACTGGCAACGATTTCTGTGGTGTTTGGTGACCTCGCAGTTCATGGCCCCGCGACACTGGTAGCCCAGCTGCTTCCGGATCGAGCGCTTGAAGAAGCCCTTGCAGCCCTCGCAGCTGATCGCTCCGTAGTGCCGTCCGGAGGCCCGATCGCCGCAGACCAGGCACAGCTCCACGCTCAACGTGGCGGATGCTCCGGCTCCCAGTCCCACGCCGCCTCCTCCGATCGGAGTGCCTCCAGACGCTCCACCTCCCCCAAGTAAGGGCATCGCTCGGCTTTCTGCAAGGTCAGAGGGCAACGGCGTCAGCATGGGTTCCAAGGTGCAATGACTCGGGTGACTGGACTCACCTTCGCTTTTGATGAACGCCTCAACCTTAACGCCGTCCATTGTCGCTACACCAGCCGGCAATTTAATAGTCGTTAGCTGCAAAAATTACTGAACAAAAAAATTTGGTCTTTAAAGTTTTACATTTCATAACGAAAAATTGTAAAGCTGTTAACTCCTGTTTATTTAACTAAGCATTTTTTAGAGGACTATAAATCTACAATTTTCTATCGGTAATAGCTTGTAAGTTTGTTAAAAATGTTGTATAATAATAAAGTTGTTTGTTAGCACGATTTAGGTAATTTTACGCAGTTCCAAATAACTCTTTCTTAAAATATTTGGCGTCTGTTTAAATCCTTTTATTTTTACTGCTACTATTTTGGACTCAACTGTAGGTGCTGCTACGTTAGCTATTTTAATAGAACCCGTTTCGGGTACATCTGTGTTGGTGTCTGTGATGTGAATGAATTGGTCTTGCTTACTTGGCTCTTTGAAAAATCTTACTGGACGTAAGCTATCACCATTCTTGCACCTTTATAGTAACGATTGGTCAAGGCACTTGCTTCCTAGTATGTTACTTGCGATTAGTTTCGCTATTTTTAGGCACTTGAGTCCTTTTCGGAACCTTTTCTGACGGAAACAATCCCCTTGTTCCAATTGGCTTCTTAACAGTATGACCGCAGCTGGGCTATAAAATAATACCCATTCTAATTAAACCGACTTTTTATTAAAATATACCGAAAATATACTAACCACTTGTTGAGCTGAATAAGAACTATTTAAATTTCTTTTGGTTTGATTTACTTTGTTAAATTATAATTATACAGTGTTCGGCTATAATGTAAAATTTGCGGGCGAACTTAGCATAGGCTAAAAATGCAATTCCTAGTTTTTCATTTTTTAAACAGCGTTCTCTTTAAATTTACAAGCTAAATTAAACTTACAATTGGGTCAAAACACATTTTAATATTTCATTTCATTCTTTCAATTACTAATTACAAGCTTAATCTAAATTTCATTAATTCTATTTTTAAGATACTGTATAATTTTTTAATATCGGATGAGACAAACAATACAAAATTTATTGGAAAGAAAAATGTCGCTAAAAACCTGAACTTCTTTTGGTTAAAATACCTGACGTTTGAAAATTTGGTTATTTTTGAATTCGAAATTGGATATTTTTTTTATCTAAATCTTCTAAAAATGAAATATCACTAGTTGAAATAAAAATAATAAAAAAGCGATGATTTAATCACTCTAAATCCAACATGTTTAATAATACTTTTTAGAGTCGCAGAATTTCCCAAAAGAAGATAATATGGCATTGTCCCGACTAAAAACACCCGTTGGATGCATAAGAGGTTGAAATTGGTTTGTAAAAATGCAGAGCTTTTGTTTATAAAAATACAATTTAATATACAGGTGAAATTGTTACAAAAAAGTATAACAAAGAAGGCCCTAAGAATGGAACTAGAATATTTTATTGTTTCTCTTTTTTCGCTTAGTTTTTGGTCTTACAAACGATTAAGCCACAAATTGCTTACACAAATATCTAAAAGGCAGGCAGGGTGGAGGGTGAGAGAAAGAAAGGATCGGATCGGATCGGATCGGTTCATGGGTCAGCCGAAATGGAAAACAACAAGCTCACAAACATGCACACTCCGCCTACACAGCAACACTACAGTCTAATATTTGAATTATTTATTCTTCAAGCCCATTGCACGTTTGGTGGCCCTTCCCAGGAAGATGCCGGTAAGGAAGACCAGGCCCGTGGCGCTCATCAGTATCACAAGGAAGAATTTGCGCGCAGGCGAGGCGACCACCTGTTGCACCAGCTGCTGCACATCCTCGGGCGGCAGCGCCAGCGTGTCGTCCGCGTTCCGGAACATCTCGATCCGTCGCTGCAGCTTTTCACGGCAGTCCGCTTCCAGCGAGTTTGGCGTATCCTTCAGCAGCGTTCTCAGGCAGCTTAGTTCTAGAGATGAAAATAGAATTATTTATAATTTTAGAAATATTAAAGGCCCTATAGCAACCAGCTATTTCGTCAACTCACTGCGTCCATTGCCGGCCGACACCTTGGAACAGTATCTCAGCAGATCCACCGTACAGGCAGTTTCCAGAATGGGATCCACATGAATGTCTGCCTTGGCTTCGGCGATCAGAGTAGCCACCTCCATCTGGCACTGCCGGTTGATTATCTGCTTCTGGATGAAGGCCGTCTTTAAGCACTCCGCCAACTGGCCGTGCTCGTCGGAATCCACATTTGCCTTGCACAGTTCCTGGATCTCCGACTTGCAGAATACCTGCAGCAGGGGATTTAACTTGTAGTTGAGAGCCTGCTCTTGCAGGATCTTGATCATCTCCTGCGCACATGGCTCGTCCAGCGCAGACTGGCGGAACTTGTCTTTTAAACAGTGAATGACCTAAAGGCAGAGAGAAAATGTATTATTATTTTTTGATATTATTTAGTTATTTTTTTCCATGAGTACCGAAGAAAGTTTCCAAAGTTGGTAAGGACGACTTAAGGGATAATTACCAATAGAAATAATAAAAGTATTTATTTATTTTGACCCGTTAATAAACACTAAATAGAAAGGTTATTTCAATTGCCAGTGATTGATTACCGCAACGCAGATAAGGAAGTAATTGTGATTAAAGATCGTTTCAAAAGGAAAAAACGTCACCGCGCGATTATGCCTTCTATCGTAGCCGGCAACTCGTTAGCCATCACAGTCGTTCCATTCTCGATTCAGTTTTCGTTCAAAGTCGAAATCAGTTGGGTCTGATGCGTAGACGCGGCGTATACGTGATGCTGACGCTGTGCGGTGTGCTGACCGCTGCTCTAACCACATTTCTTGTGATTTCCCTCACCGGCGGCCAGGGTGCAGATGCATCCGATGCACAAACGGTGACAGTGCAACTATCCAATGGCCAGGGGGAAGTTCTTGGGAACTATGGATCCACAGCTTGGACGGACCAAACTTTTATGCAGTTTCGTGGCATTCCCTTTGCCGAGCCACCAACGGAGGAGATGCGCTTTCAGGTAAGGCAGTTAATGGGGAGTCACCCATAGAATTTTCGAATAGTTAAATGTAGTCAGTAAAGTTATAAAACAAATTTTAAGGACTATCTAACTTTGGACTTATATTAAAACATGGGCATTCAATATAGTTTAATAAGAAAACAGACTTGTTGATTCAGTGCAGAATTTTAAACTGCTGTTTTAGTTAATTAATAAATTAAGAAATGTTTTTTAATTTTTGTATCCAAATTATCAATAACTTGGTCCTACAGTGCTTATTAAATACAAAGTGCCAATATTGTATGTATTTCGGTCCTTTAATTTCGAGAAAAATGTTTGATTAATTTTAGCAACGAAATTCGAGGGTACCACGGCTTTTAGGCTATCATTTTTTCTCAATTTTATGTGATGTTTTAGTATTGACATTTTTGTTTGTCGTCGCCTTAACTGATAAGCGGGTATGACGAAGTTAAAATGCTTTCTACTCTATATTTCGACTACTAGCCACCTGTGGCGCGAATACCATGGACTGGCACCCTCAACGCACTGAACTTTGGACAACGCTGCCCAGTGATAACAAATCTGGATGTACTGTTGTCTGATGCTGAACTCGAAGATTGCCTCAATCTGTCGGTATACACTAAGAACGTGAGTAAAATTTAGTTTACTAATGATGATAGCCGCAATTAAATTATAAAAACCAAGGGGTTGAGACTTGATCTTTTACGATGGTGAAATAGATTGCTTTGACGAGTAACATACGAATTAAATCTCATGTTGAATTGCTGTTGTAGCTTTCTGCCAGCCAGCCGGTAATGGTCTACATATATGGCGGAGGCTTCTACAATGGCTCCGCAGAGGATCACCCCCCGAACTATATCCTTGAGAAGGACGTGGTCCTAGTTGTGCCTCAGTACCGGGTGGGAGCCCTCGGATGGTTGTCGACATACACGGAGGAGCTTCCCGGAAATGCCCCCATTGCGGATATCCTAATGGCACTCGAATGGGTGCAACTACATATTAATCGCTTCGGTGGTGACCCCCAGACGGTGACTATTTTTGGTCAGAGTGCCGGAGCTGGAGTGGCCAGTTCTTTGCTACTGAGTCCCAGAACTGGCGACCATCTGTTCAAGCGAGCCATTGTGCAGTCAGGTTCGATACTCGCAAGCTGGGCTATTAACAAGGACCCAAGGGGGCAGTCGCGGCGAATTTGCGACCGGCTGGGGTGTTCCAGCTGCGAGCAGCAGGAGCAGCTCGTTAAGTGCTTACAAAAAGCAAAGGTTCAAGATATTTTGATAGCCACGACATCGGAATCTTTTTCGCCTATTGTAGGAGATTTACAGGGCATCCTGCCTCAACAACCAAGCGAGTTGCTAAAAAACTATCGCAGACAGATTCCGCTGCTGACAGGATTTACTCAACACGATGGTTCCTTCGTCCTAGCGAGTAGGTGGCACTTTAATTTAAGTCCTCAACTAGTTTATCTAACTTAAGACTCTTTTACTATTCTAGGCTATTATGACGCTCTGGCCGCTAAGGTATCAAATGTAAGTTTGTTGAGCGTGCGTCAGTTTTCCCAGGGAATCAATGACATGGTTAATGATACATCGGGATTAACAGACAACATTTTGAATCGGATGCTCTTCAAGCCTTACATGCTCAACAGCAATGATCACAATTCTGCGGTTCCCTCATACTTCGATGTGAGCTTAAGATATAACCACTAAAATTGATTTTTTGTTAAACGTTTTTTCTTACAGCTGACTTCGTCAATATTTATGAAATCTCCAGTAATTACCCTAGCCACCAGGATATACACCCTACAGCCCTCCACTCCAGTCTATGTCTATAGTTTCGACTACGAGGGCCAATACACTCGATTTGGCTATGAATTCGGGAACTCACACTATCCATTCAATGGAGGAGTTCATCACTCAAACGACAACATCTACCTTTTCTCCACCCACCCCCTGGAGGGACAAGACATTCAGATGTCACAAAAAATGGTGGAAACGTGGACGTCGTTTGCCATCGATGGTACTCCCAACGATCTCAGTCCGCTGACCAGTGCAAGTGGGCCGTATAATCAACTCAATTTGGAGATAACTAAAGGTGAGGATTTATTGGAAACTCTGACGGCAGCAATTGATGATCCTGACAATGGGCGACTTCAGCGAGAAGATATGGAGTTTTAATAGTGTGGCACTCGATAATGTAAATAATGTAACTATTTTTTATTTAATAATTAACGAGTACGGGAAAACTTGAAATTTTGAACAATTTTATACTATTCTTTCTTTGGGAGCTATAAGATACAGCTTTCACCCTGCGCAGAATATGTTAAATTTTTCCAAGATATATCCGAGCTTTGGGATATAGACGTCCGACCGGCGCTAGCATGTAAACTGAGCTTTACAGAAACAGACGTACAAACGGACATGGTTTATGATTAAGAATATATAGCGTCGGAAACGTCTGCGTTAAAAAGTTATAATACCCACTGCAACACACTCTCTGCGGTATAAAAAGGAGACACCTTTAGTTAAGTAAAGGCAGGTCGGCCAAACTATTTCTGGTAATAATATTTAAGCTTATTTCTTTAAATGTAGTATTTCTTTCACTCACCTTTCCATTTAGTTCCTCATTAGGCAAGGCGCTGGCCACAATGTTGGAGCAGTACCGATCTATGTTCTTTCCGCAGGCGCTTTGCAACGAGGGATTGAACCGGAAGTCCGTGTTCTGCTCAATCATGCGATTGACCACCACGAGGTGGCACCGCTGATCGAATTGGTTGTCATCCTTGTACGTCTTAAGGCAGTCCAGCAGTTTGTCCGAATCTGTGCTAGGACAGAACTTGTAGATCATCTCCTTGCACGTGGTCAGAAGTGTATAGTCAGTACCGCTGTCGCCCAACTCTGACTTCTTTACCATGAAGATCGCATGGTGACAGGGCTTGCCCAAACTAGGAGTCTTCCTTATAAGACACTCCAGGGCCTGCAATCATTTACGCAAATATAAAAATTAAAACTGGCTTTGTTGGTAAAGATTGTTTGGATTGGGTGTGAAAATGTGTTAAGCAGGAGCCATAACGAATTTAGTTTTTAAGGTGTGAATCAGCTATTACTAATATATTTAAAGACGGAAAAATCGTTTTCAGATATTTTTTCCTTTGTGAGTATTTTTTAATTTATGAAAAAAACAAGAGAGAACGCTATAGCCGATAACCGTTACTCAGCTGAACGGAGTGCGAGGGAATTATTATGAAATTATTGATTGCTCCATCTAGCGGCTGTTTTAATTTTTGCTGATAACTTTTTAAAAAATGGGAAGAAATTTAAAAAAATGTCTTCTACATTTTGATATTTTTTTTTAAACACAACAAAATTGCAGATCTATTGGCTTATGAAATTTTTGATTGCTCCATCTAGCGGCTGTTTTAATTTTTGGTTTGATTTAAAAAATTACTTCTACATTTTGATAGCTATGTTTAAACACAACAAAATTGCATTTATACTTCAAAAAAGTGGGCTTCAGTCACATTTTAAAGTATTTTAAGGCGATTATGGGCGTTAGAGTAGGCGTGGCACTCTGTTAAAACAAACTTGCGCTGTTCCTACGCAGCCCAAGAATATGTGTGGTTAGACCCAACTTTCTAGCTGTATATAGAAAGCTTTTATACAGACAGACGGACATGGCTAGTTCAACTCGGCTAGTGATCCTGATCAAAAATATATGTACATATATACCATATACTTTACAGGGTCGGAAACGCTTCCTTTTCCCTGCTACATACTTTTGCATGAATGTAATATATAAATAATTACATCTTATTTATTACACCATCAAACCATTATTGTTCAGCTCCCTAGTGTTAAAGCGTTTCAGTGGTTAAGGATGAGTTAGATAACTTGCTTTTTCATTCACCTGACCGGGCCCCTTCTCCTCCTCGCAAAACAGCTCCAGCTCACGCTTACAGGCGTTGGCCAGCTTGGGGTCCAGCTGGATACTCTCGCGTTGCTGGTACAGTTGGGCCTTCACCTGGTGACGGCACTCCTTGGGGATCTGGTGACGTTGCGCCTTGATCGTGTCGTTGCGCATAACCTCGCTGAGGCAAGCCACCACCTCGTTTTTGGTGGCGCTCGAGGAGCAGAAGCGTTGGACATACGGTCGGCACGCTTCCTTGAACTTGGTGGTGAAATGGAAGCTCTTAAGCGAGATGATCTGGAAATGCTCAATGGCAGCCCGACAGCGGAGATCCTTACGCAGATCCGCGTCGTTTTTGTGCGCTATCAGACAGTCCATCATGTCTCCTGGTAAATAAGAAATATATTAATATATATATTTATATATTTTTCACGGTTTATATTACCATTATCTTTGCCGCTTTTGAGTATCGCAGAGCAGTGCTGCTGCATGGCCTCGCCGCAGACGTTCATGATGACGGGATTGAGTTCCACATGAGCAGCCTCCTCTTCCGTGTACTTGACTACCACTGATTTGCACTCCGGCTGCAATTGGTCCATGTTCTTTTGCAGACACTCCATTTCACTTCCCTTTTCCGTGCAGTCAGAACAGAAGGCCGAGAGATCGTTGAGGCAGTAGTCTTCTACCTCGGGAATCAAGTCCATGGATATGGCGCGCTGTCTCATCACGCGCTTCACCTCCTTGAAGCAGTCTTTCCTCAAAGTCTGATGCTCGTCCTCGCTGAACGCCATGCGGTGCAGGCAGGGCAGGATCATGGGTCCTCGTTCCGGATCCATTTGTATGTTCTGCGCATCGTCCCACTGCCTCTTCGCACGGCAGTACTTCACTGCGTCGTCGCGACAGTGTTTGTACAGCTGTGGATCCAACTTGAAGTCCCTGGCCACAAAGTATTCTATAATGAGAAGTGCCTGCTCGCATTCAGGCAGCATCACTGGTGTGCCAATGTGCTCCACAAGGCAGCTCATGACTCGCGCGTCGCCTCCCTGAACATCCTTGCAGGCCACGTCCACCACTGGCTTGCAGGCCCGCCTCAGCACGGGATCCACGCGCCAATCCTCGCCGGCATCACTGGCCTTAATAAGGGTCTCCAGTCCCCTTTGGCACTGCGCCGTTACCCGTCGTTGTTGGCGCCTGGCCTTCACGTGCTCCAGCAGGCAGTGGATGATCTCGCCACCAGTACTTGTCATGCCATTCACCAGCTGCGCCTTGTGTTCATCCGGACAGAATTTGGGTATATCGTCAGCACAGTCGTTGAGAAGCTCCGGTGACAGCTGATAGTCCGTCATCAGCATGCGTCGGTGTTCAGTCAACTCGGTGAGACAAGCGGGCGCCAGTTTTGTGCCGTTCTTGGAAACCGACTCCAGACAGAGCAAGATCTGGGCCAACCGGACATGTTTGTCCTCGGAGACCCCGCGGCGGCAGTGGTACAGCTTGATGTCGTCCTTGCAGGCTTTGGCCAGACCGTGGGACACGCGATAGTCGCGGCCCATTTGCTGGTCCCTCAGAGTAATTTGGGATGCGCACTGGGCCGACATGGAGGGGTGGTTCTTGTGCCGCACCAGGCACTTGAATCCGCCAGCTGTGCCGGACTTTTCCTGAAGCAAGAATATAGCAATAAAGTAATTAATATTTGGTTCTTCAGCAGGATTAATATAAATTTCTTATTTCGTCAGACAATCATTTTGTTGAGAGCAATTTAAATAATTTCCTATTTATTCACTCTAATCTTATCTATACTATTCCATAGTGAGCCAATTCAAGAAATGATTCACGTTGTCTTTCAACTAGTGACCCCGTACTATTCATTATTGGGGCAATGCTTTTGCCTTATCTGTAAGCTCTTAAATGTTGTTTCTAAGGGGATTGTTTCCTATGTCGATCCGACTCACCTGCGAGCACAAGGACGATAAATCCTCTTGACAGACCCGAAAGAGCTCCAGCATTCCCCGCTGCAGCTCAATGGAGTTAATGGCGGCCTGGCAGATGGGTTCGAGGCTAGACTTGGCCTCACTCGCCTGGAGGCATTGCACTGTGCCCAACTGGGACAGCACAGAGGGCAGGTGGTCAATGTTCAGCCGACCGCACTTGTGCTCCTCGACGAGCGTGCCGCAAGCGGTGTAGAACTCATCCACGGCGCTGTAGTCCTGGCCCAAGGACTCGTAGGCCCTTCTCAGGTGCTGGTGGCAGGCGCTGTTCTGCGGCAGCTTCAGTCGCTGCTGCTCAAGGCAGCTCCACAGGTGCACGGCGTTCAAGCAGCTTTCCAGCTTAGACCGCTCGGCGGGACAGTAGGAGGGCAGAAAGCTGCTCTCCAGCCAGGCAGGAAGCTGCAACTGGCGCTGCTGCAGCCACAGAGCGTGCTGACAGCCCTCAGGCAGCTCCTCCAGCTGGCTGGAGCTGAAGGTCAGGGCGCACTCCAGCATGGACAGGTTGTCCGTGGACTTGTGGTGCGTGCAGAGCTTCTTGAGGTCCTGGCACTCGGCCAGGTCAACAATGCTGTGCATGGCTTTCGCGTTGTCCACCTCAATGGCGGCTCGTCGGATGCGCTGGAGGGAGTCCCCGGCCGACGTGGCCGTGGCCATCAGGAAAACCAACAGGAGGTGCAGCATATTAGCTGTGTGAACGACCGGTCTTCTGCACTGCGGTTTCAGTGGCCGGTCATCGAAAGCACCTCCAACGGCGTTTTGCTTGCGTAAGCTAATGGAGCGGCTGTTTACAGTCGACGCGGCGATTCGATGCGCTGCCTTTGGCAGAAATACATCAGCACAAGTGGATATATTTCGTCGAGTTCGACTAAGTGCAGTGCCAGCAACAAAACAAATGTGTGCAAAATGGATGGCCGGTTCGCGAATGCGCCGTTCTTACGTCTTGGTCATCGCTTGAATCGCTTTTCCGGCTGCTTAAGATCTGGTCGGAGTACTGCAACAGCCTCAGTTTTTGCTATTGCGGCATATAAAGTAGTTAAAGTGCTAATATCAATTCTATTTGCTGGAAATGAACCAACAGGCTAGAGGTGGAGAAACATCGGTGGAGAACTATCGGCTGGCCCGCAATATATCGATAGCTGCAACGCAAATTACAGATGCAAATTCTAACTGGACATATTTTAAAATGTATATAAAAAATGAGAAACAGGAATATAATAATGGTGCGTTCTGGCGGAAATTGTTGTTAAGCCACATAAGCATTTTTAATCAGCACCAACAGCCGAGTTCACCTAGCCTTGTCCGTTCTTACGCGTACTAGTCTAAATTTTAAAGTTTTCAGGATACAACTTTCCCAAAAGTCTTTTTTCTATTGCAGGTGGTATATGTGTCGAAACAAGCTGGATTGGACCACTGTCCATAGTGGTGTTCTGCCATAGATCAATGAGATGGAGGAAGGTGGATGGTGCTCTGTTGGAATGGGCTATAACGTTCAGGAAACATAAATCGATACAAAATATATCGTTTCACTACGCTACCGATTTTTTTAGCTACCATCATTCTGTTTTCTGGCTGTTTCAGCAGCACTGTTGAGACTCTTGTTTTTAGAAGATATTCAATTGAATCTTTAACGTCTACGGTAATAAGTTCGCAAGCCAAGAAATATAGTGAAATAACCACCTGTGGTTTTCCGTTATAATCGCATTTAATACAACACCCAAGTGCAACGCAAACAGTTTAAGCGCGAGTTTTTGTTCCCCCTCCACTTTGAAGCTCACACCTTAAAACTTGTTTTGAGTTTACCAAGTAGAGCGAGGTGTTTGTGCGTTTGTGTATACATACAAACAAATGTAAAAGTCTTCAGAAATTCCAGCACAAATTGCACTGCTGAACTAAGTGCATTGCTAATTGGAGATATTTAAATGATATAATTTAATTTCGAAAACTCGTAACAAATCACAGCCATTCAAAATGGGTAAGTTGGCGAACATTTTATTTTTATATATAAAGGCTTTTAAATTGTAACAGCTGTCTGAAACAAAAAACATTGCTTAGTTGGCTTTGTAAGCAGTTTAAGAAGCTATTGATTCCAATTGGGCAAACGATTTCGTGTCACGTGAGGAACTGCATTCTGATTGGCATTCAATTTAAAGTCCAACTAACAATTGTTTGTAATTATACCCTCGCAGCGGATATTTTTATTTTGGTTAGAAGTTTATCTATTATTTAAAGATCAACACTTTTTATATCTAAGAGTTGTACTATATGTACTTAGATTTTATAAATGGAATGAATGTAAAAAACAAAATATAAGGAAAATTATATACTGGAAGAGATGGAAATTTTACACCCTAGAACTATTTTATTTATCCCAGAATTTAATTAATAAAAGCTAATCTAGAAATTTAATAATGGTGGGTGACTGTTACGAATGGCTATCATGTATTTCTAAAGAGTATTTATAAAATAAACACATTTTATTTACACAAAAATTGGTTAAGATATTAAATTATATTTATTAAGCTTTCAAAATATAAAAAAATGTTTCGGGCAGCGGAGATATTTGAGTTTGATTCACAAGGGACAATGAACAATTTTACATTGTTGTTTTGGTTTTTCAGTGAATATTATTTTTTAAGATATAAAAGAATATCTATTATTTTTTTTTCGTAAAAATGGCTAACTCCTGTTCATCTCCTTAAAAACTGATTTCGAAATATACGAAGAGTATTACAGTTTTCAGCTGAACTTCCTGAACCATTTTATTTACGCTCTAGCAGCTGGCTTTATTTCGTTCGCAAAGAGTCATTGCACGCTACCGGAATTAATGTTTGGCTCTAATGCCAAGCCGGTGCTTGTGTCTTGGTGTCATTGGCATCCAGCATTTGGCATCTGGAGTAAGGCATCTGGTCTGGTCCAAAGCCTCGGTGGCAATTTTCATCCCGTCTGGCACAGACACCGCGGGACTTCCGGTGAGAAACTCTTAAATGCGGATGCATTTAAAAGGCTTAGGCTCTTCACTCGCTTCGCTGGCGGGATGTCCCCTGGATGTTTCATTTGCTTCTGTAAGGTCGTTGTCCCTTCTGTCTTAACTAGGCTTTAAGGCGCCACTAAGCACATAATTAGCTTAGTTACTTTTGAAAGCAACGTAGTCGAAAAAATAAAAAGGATTTTTTTCGCTCTTGCCATTTAGGCACACACATTGCCCGACACATTCCTGTAAGGACAGCCTAAAAAGATATTTACAGAGCAATTAGTATTTAATTTGACTCAAACCATTTTTCTTTTCATTTATAAACTTATAAAGTTTAAATACACACAAATATAAAACAAAATGTCATTGTACTGTGTTACGACCGCTGGCTTTAGGTTATCTTATTTCCCTTATTAGCGTGACTTTTTGACCTGACCCAAGCACTGAACTTCTCCCAGCAAGTTCAAACTAATTGTCTCATTGATGAAGCAACCCGCCTTTTATGCACAGAAAAAAATATAGTTCAAAACTCTTCAATATAACTGTGTCTTAAACCAACTTTTCCCCGAAATTAAGAATACATCCCTGCAAATATATAGGGGAGAGGTCTGTAAATTGGGGCACCCATATTTCTCAAAACGTCACCACAAAAAAAAATTTTTTTTGTAAAGTCTGATTACTGACTATTAAAATAGTTACGTGTATTTTGTTTTTTCTTTGTGTGTTTCTTTGCTAACTGTTGTTGTGGAATAACTATTTACTTAGTAGAATTGACAATTTAGCTGGTTGGTGCCTGTTTGACAATTATTACAGTTTATTTTACCAAGATTTTTTTGTTGTAAAATGTAAGCTGTGACCAAAAAAAATTTGTTTTAATTTTTTTCAAAATAATAAAGGAATAACGTGCTTAAACCAAATTGGTTTACAAAATTAGTAAAAAATTAAACATTTAACAAATTAAAAAAACAATCAGAAGAATTAGCATTCATAATCTACTGCAATTTAATTTATTTATTAATATCAATGTACATACAAATATTAAGAGTAACTAACTTTAAAGGCTTTGGAAATATAATTAATCAGAGTACCGGGTATCTTATAGTCGAGCCACTTACCGTAGCGTTTCTTCTTATTCCGTTATCTTATAATAATATAATATAATATATAATATATAATCCATAATATATATAATAATAATCATAAGACCTATAGTTTTTGTTTCAAACAAATTAGAAGTATGCAATCCTTCAAGTTTAATACGAAAAGCATAAGCATACGAAATAAAAATCTCCATACAAAGTTTTGATCACAAAATTTTCCGCCTGTCATTTTTGTATAGAAGTTTTCGTTTCGTCGCCTTTTTAATTGAAGTGAGTACTAGGCTTAATGCTACATTTTTTTGTAAAAATTGGGATTAAAAAAAATTTTAAATTCACATAAAATCTGTGAATTTTTTCTTCTGTGTAAAGAGAAGAGTAAGGGAACGTTACGCTCTTTGAAAAAGCAGGCAAATGAGTCAGTTATCGTGATGACTCTCTTTCGGGGAACTGAGAACCATTTGATGTCGAACGCAGCCCATTCAGAGTTTTCATTTTTCTTTCTTTTCTCCGGAGCGTCAGTCGCCTATTCGCTGACATTACTACGAAGATAATTAGAATTATTGAATCTTTTGATTGGATGACGTCGGTGCGCGTGTGAATCACTGTGTCGATCAGTTTTTGGCTAGGGTATTTCCGATAGGCAGTGTGAAACTAAACATCTTTGTAACTTCCGATTCCTCAAAGCACTGTGCAGTATGCCGGGCAAGGGGAACAACCGCGATCGCATCCGGGATCCCCGGGAGGAGATTCTGCTCGAGACGAACTTCGAGGACGACGGCGGAGTCCTGACGCGCGCATACAATGGAAATCCGTACAATCCGTCCATCCAGAACCGTCGGCGTAATTCGTACCGCTCGGATCACTCCTTGGACAGGTACACAGAGCGCGGAGGCGAAGGTACGATCCCGATTCCGGGATATTTTCGAAGCACGAAACGCATTTCAGTAGCGCAATAAAACGATTTCACTCTCACAGCATTGTGTGTGCTTATTTAGCTATACGTGAATCACTGGACAACTTGTAACCACCAGTCGCTGGCTCACCTGTTATCTTATCACTGTCTTTTTCCATTTATGCTTGCACAAGCAACTCGTATTCGTGTATGTGTATTCGTCTAAATCGTACCGTACTCACAAGTATGGTTTCAAACGCTATCCATTCCTATTATTTAGCTTATATACTATATCTTTACCTCTGATTTTTTCTCTCTATATTCCGGTCTTCTAAAATTATTTTTAATTAACATCTAAATTAAATCATAACCAAAAACACTGTGCTGCTTTTATGAATATTTGTTATTTGCCTAACACAAAATAAAGAACAAATCACACTTTAGTTATAAATTTTAAGTTATGGTTTTTGTATAAAATCTAACCTACCAATAAGTTTCTTCATCTTTGTTTGAGATCAAATTATTTTGGTGCCAAGTCCGCCCATTTCCTTTTTCACAGACCACCTCAAAAGTATTCAGTTCTCTTGTTTAACATCGAAAAATAAAAAAAAGTAGTTTATAGACAAGTAGAAAAATGAAATATGACTGCATATATTCCTGATTACCTTTTTTATCTTTCCAGGAGAATGCTGCCAATCATGCATGGCGCGTATTCCGTACGCCACTCTGATAGCCACTCTCATGTGCCTGCTGGGAGTCGGAATTTTCTGCTTTACCATGTACCGAGGGGCCTCACTTACCGTTATTATGGTTGACCAGGTCTTTCACCTGCGCCTGATATGGTGAGTAATTAGTTAGCACGCCCCCATTTTGTCTTACCTAAACCATCTAATACACTTAGGATCGAAGCGGTGCAGATGATATTTGTAATAATCGGAGCGGGTATGGCGGCCCTCGGATTCATGATTCTATTCGTTGGATTTTTAGCCACCGGAGCCACCAGATATAAAGTTTACAGGGCGTGGCGATCACGAGTGGGCGGTCGGATCTCGTGCGCAGTCCTCATGGGGATAACCTACCTGCTAAACTTTGTCTGGAGCCTGATCCTGTGTTTCCTAGTGGTGGTAACCTTCATTTACACAATGTTCTGGAATATGTGCTCGAGTGTGGAGCACTCTCAGAGCTGCATTGATTTGACACAATTTCGTGAGTCTCATTAAAAATTATATACACATAAGAGGTTTTCTAATGCTTTAACGGCTTTAGATTTCATGTTTCCACCAAACACGAAACTCGAGGATATGAAGGTCTGCGAAAAGTATGAGATCAAGGCTTTTTGCAAGGACGGCGTGGAGAACGCAGAGGTCATGTTCATATTGGCCACCCTGTCCACCCTTTTGGTACTGCTCAGTCTGGTCCATTATCTGATGTGCCTGTCTGCCAATTATGCCCACATTCGGGACCACGAGAAGTTCCAGGAGCTGCAGGAAATCCAAAACCTTAACGAGCTGGAGTACAGTGCTACATCGAAGGATCGATTCTAGGACATATTTCAGAAGATTCAATTTGAGCTTAAAGAAAAGTCCAGCGCTGTTTGAGCGATTCACGCACTATACAACGAAAAGTGAACAGAATTCCATCGAACATTAACAAGCTATAGTTAAGATTTTGTTTAGACCTAAGATTAATGTTGACTTTGAATTTTAGCATGTTCATTTAATGAGTTAGTAACTTCAACTATTATTTATGTTCAAACATCTTTATATAAGTAAGCAGTCCTTCAGTAACTGCCAAATGGAATGATCCCACTGATATGATGCTTTTTTAATTCTGCACTCTTACTAAAATTTATTTTCCGTCCATTACGTTAAGTTAGCTTATATTTATCTTTATTTTTCTGTTCTTCACCTTGCAAATAATAAATACATACATACATAAAAGACAAATGCTTACGCTCAAATTGCTTCTTCTGAATTGCTGAATGCATTTTATTAAAATACGAATACGTTAGTTAATCGCAACTTATCATTATATAGTGTAATCCATCCGTGCATGATTATCTTTCAAATCTGTACAAGAAACTACGTTTACAATTTTAAAGCAATACAAATCCTGCCGTAGTATTTTGTAAATGCGGCAGCAGCAGATTGGCTAAGTATAAATATATTTATCTTGTATTTAATATAAATACGTCAGTAATATTAATATATTTTATACTACAATTTTCTAACCTTACACTTATACAAAAAGGTAGGATAACAAAAAAGTGTTCACACGAAATTTTTTAAGCATTGAATAAAATACTTGAGGTTAATCAACGTTCTAATTTTTCTAAAATAGCCCGGGTGGATTTGGTAATATTCTAGAATTAGTCAACCTACTTTAAATCTCTAAAGAATTCCCTAAACTGTTAAGTTGCTGAATTATTGAATTTTGGTCAGCTGTTTATGAGCTGTCCAATACAAAATAAATTTGCAGAAATTACAGCGATTCAAGAACCTTGAGACTGTTTGATCGTTGAAAATCAGCTGTCACCTTATTTCATATACATAAATCCCATGGAAAGGCTGTACAATTTTAGAATCAAAATTAATTTTGTATGTCGATAATCTTAAAATAATGCCTTACAAATACCCAAGCTCTTCACTTTAATATAGCATTCTGTTTAATAAAATACTGGGTTATGTACTAGTAATTTTAAAGTAAACAAAGAAAGAGTTTCATAGCGATAGCTTTAAAACTAAATGACTAGTTCGCAAAAAAACGGACAGACGGGCATGGATAGATGGACTCGGGTATTGGTGCTGATCAAGAATACTTATTTATTTGTACTGGGTAAGCGTTTTTTTTTCAAAAATAACATTAGTTTACAGCCAAAATGCTCCACAGCAATTGATTGCAAATTCTATTAGTGCTAGAGCCTAGATCATGAAAACAACAACAATTTTTTTTTCGATGGCAAGTTTTTTTTAAAGATTTTTTAAAGTTAAAAATGTTACATTTTTTCTTATATCCCGGCACATATCCACCCAATTGGACCAGTTTTCGTTTCATTTTAAAGTCAATAGATCAGAGCTTAACTTTGCCATTACCACTCATTTTTGTTTACATGTCGCCGCCTATGATAAAACTTAAATTTGTCAACCGAAAAAAGTTGAAAAATCCGAACTTTAACAAGAAAGGAAAGGAAATTCCCTAAACTGTTGAATTGTTGAAAATTCAACAAAAAATTTCAGCAATTAAGGGAACGACCCAAAATGGTTCCTGTTGAATTTTCAAGCAGCTGTTATATGTTGAAAAATTTCACGGAACTTAGAGAATGTAAAATTTGATTTATTATTGCTAGTTACTGTCTAAAAGTGTTACCAAGGTACAAAGCAATTCAACAGTTTGGGGAATCCCCCTGAAGTTAACTTTGGCCAGCCGAAGTTTATATACCCTTGCAGGTTTGCCTACTTAAAATGTTGTCTTTACAATGTCAAAAATTAAAACGCCTACTTTCTACAATGTTTTTTATATTATTTTTTTCATTATTCCTATGGGAGCCTTAAGATATAGAGGTCCGATCCGGCTCGTTCCGACATATGTACTTCCTGCAATACAAAGAAGACTTTTGGGAAAGTTTCATCGCGATAGCTTTAGAGAGAGACTAGTTCGCATAGAAACGGACAGACGGACATGGTTAGATGGACTCGGCTATTGATGCTGATCAAGAATATATATACTTTATGTGGTCTGAAACGTCTCCTTCACTGCGTTGCAAACTTTTGACTGAAATTGCAAGGGTATAAAAATCCACCATAAATCCCATTTTCCATGAATCTGGGCCATATCCGGCTTGTTTTATTAGGTAGCATGTAAACTTTAAGTTTGTACCGACTAAATAACACATTTTTCAATTTGTCAAGTGGATGCGCTGCTATTTCTTATCCAATCAAATTGATCTGTATGGCAAAGTTAAGCTCTGATTTATTGACTTTAAAATGAAACGAAAACTGGTCTAATTGGGTAGATATGTGCAAAGATATATGAAAAAATAAAAAAAACGTCAGAAATTTAACATTTTGAACTTTAAAAAATATTTTGATTTTCGTGATCTAGGGCTGTAACACTAAAAGAATTTTAAATCAATTGCTGTGGAGCACTCCAAGAATATTATTTTGTAAACTAGTGTAAGCTACCATAGGAAGACAGTCATAATCAAAACTAAAGCAAACTTCTGACTGAAAATATAAAATCTTCTCCAAGGGTACAAAAATTAAATTAAAATGTTTTAAGTTCCGTAAAATTTTTTAATTCGATGAAACCATTTACGGTGGTACAATTCAGACACTTAACAGTACAGGGAATGCGAGGCTTATACATTTATTTTCAAACGAAAATCATAATACATTTAATTGAGGCCAACTTTAATTTTACATTAAATAATTTTAAATTAAACTTTTTGAGTTACTCATTATAATAAGCACAGGGAAAACTTACAAAATATAAATTCAGTTAATTTACAATAAAAATATATACGATCAATCTTAAAAACTATATGCGCATTTTTTGTTGTTGATTGATTGATTTATAAAAGCATGCGATTATAGCAAGGCGTTGTCGTTTTGGGTGTCATTACATTACTATAGTCAATCTTCCTGCCGCTCCCCAGCAATGGAGCTGTCTTTAACTTTAACTGAATGGTTGGCATCTGACTGAATCTGTCTCTGACCGCAAAAGGCATGTCGTCGTCTTTGCCGAAGTGAGTTGAAGTTCCATTGGGTTGGGTGTAAGTTACACCCCCACCTTGAATATTTGGAATAACAGAGATTACGGATCCATCATAAAATTGCACTTGGACAACTCCATGGGAGAGCTAGGAGAGAGAAAGGAAAGATCAGTAAAACTCCTAATTAAATATACGATTAACAAACCTCAGTGGCGATTCCAATATCAGGAACGGTGATGCGTTTGATGGGAATATTTTGATGGGCGGCTAGCATGTTTGACCTGGAGCAATTGGTTCCGAAATCTGTGGTATTTCGAGTCGACGAAATAGTGCTTACAGAAAAATTTATTGAACCCTGTAGGAATGAATGAATGAGATCTTATAATATATGTGAGATCATATATATATGCATATATACCTGATTTGATTTTGGTGTTGAAAAAGCAAGGTTTGTGGTTTCCCTTAGGCCATCTAATCTCTGAGCTGGCTGCACATCGGTTATAGGCCTTCGTCCGATTGTGACTGGAAAACACGTATTGTCCTTCGTCTGAGCAACCTCCAAGGCATTGCTGATGTTGACACAATGAGTAAAGCACTCGTTTCCATGCTCTATCAAGGATCTTGGCTCCGAACAGGAATGATCCGACAGCAACATTCCATTTATATCGTACACCTTCAGACCCTCGGAGGGCGACTTTAAAAGCTTAGCCCCGGAATAGAAACGAATCTCAAAGTCTGCCATTGTCTCCATTAACTGGCATTTGCCTAGGGCGCTGAAGTAGGTGACTTTCGGCGTTTTGCTTTTCACCAGACTCACGAATCGAGCCCCGTAAACATATTTTTTCCAGTGCTTGCTGGGCAAATTCTCGTAGTTATAGACACAATCTCCGCTTGGTATTTGAAGATCTGGTGGCTGTTCTCTTACTGGTAGCCCGCTGAAATGTACCAAAACATTAAATGTTTTTCGGTTTTTATTATAACACTTTACTTACCGTCCAGGATCCGGCTGGTATATTATGATGCGCTGTCCGTTATCCGATATGCGGCAAATATCATTTATACGATCTTCATTAAGCTTTGGCCGAAACTTCAGAAATTCCAGGACCACCTCACCATTTCGTAAAATACTCATTATTGCATTCTTTGTCTTATAACGCGTGGGTAGTAGTCTTTTGGTGCACAATGGTGGCACTGAAATTCGCTCTTCCTTCAGAGGTGCAGGTCTAGAATTTGGTACCATATCAATGTCCATGCGGAAATGCGGAGCCTTGGATGTTACTGGCCAAATTTGTTCTGCTAGCCCAGCTGATGCTTGCCGAAATAAACCAGGCTGCTCATAAGTCATTCGATGATGATTCTGCATGAATTCTTCCTCTATTTGGGGAAGGCCTTGTTGAGGTCCCGAGTTTTCCACAGAACGAATACGCTGAGAGTTTCTGGAGTCACCTAAATAGAAAGACTTGGTGAGATACCAGCAAAAACCGCCATTCCCTGAATTCTTACTGCTAGCAAACGTTATGATTCCACTATCGCCGCTCTCCAGGCTCTGGCTGAACACATTTAACGCTCCCGGCGTCGAGTGTCCCCCGTTTGAGCCATTATCCAATCTCTTCAACATAAACGGATGGCAAAGGACTGCCTCCAGGGTGATTCTTTCGTGAGGAAGCTTCTTAAGCAACTTGTTTATCAAGTCCTGCGCCTCATAGGACAAATGAGCCGGCATTAGGTACTCGGACATGACCACTTTGTTAAGGGTGGACTGAACGCCATCGGTTTCGAAGGGCGGGCGCCCCACCAGCAGGGTGTACAGCATACATCCAACACTCCAGACATCGGCTGGGAGTCCGTGTGACACTCGTGAAACTACCTCGGGCGAAATATAGTTGGGGGTTCCACACATGGTCACATGCCGCTCATCCGGTCGCTTTAGTTGGGTGGCCAGACCAAAGTCGGCGATTTTGACGTGCATTTCCTTGCTGAGCAGCAGGTTGGATAGCGAGATATCGCGGTGCATGATGTTGTGCGAGTGCAGGTACAAAAGACCTGCTACCACCTGCTTCAGGATGGAGGCAGCTTCCGCCTCTGTAAAGGGCCTAGCAATGTGGTTCATGTAGCGATGAAGCTCCCCATTGTGGGCCAGCTCCAGCACCAAGTAAACGTAGTGGGAGTCCTGGAAGAAGGTGTACAGCTGGAGCACAGAGGGATGCTTCAGGCGAGAGTGGATTTCCACCTCCTGGCGAACGCGGCTGGTGAGTCCAGTGCCTTGGATCAGCTTCTTATCGATCTGCGGGCGCACTTATGATTAGCAAAAGGATTCCCGATGTAGGCCGGGTACTTACCATCTTAATGGCCACATCCTGGTGAGTGTGCAGGCATCTCGCCTTGTAGACACTCGCAAAACCGCCTTTGCCCAGCAAGTGCTGTACTTCATAATCCTGCAAAGGCAAACAACGCTTGTAATTTCCACCAGACTGCTGGATTCCGGTCCACCCACCTCAATTGTTTCACCAAAGGCCCGATTGGATAACATAGTTAGCTTTGGACCACGAACTTACTGAGCAACTTGCTATTTACAGTTAATATTAACCAACCATGTAAACAAACAAGCCTAAAAAAATTTGAATGGCCACCGATAGTTTTGGAAAAATTCTACGGTTTACCAACACAAACGAGGGCTGCATTTTCGATTACAATTTCAAAAACTAAATGTAAATAAATTAATCAGAAATATTTATTTGTAAATTAATCTGATTTGTTTTATTATTACCTTTTTGTTATAATTAATACTTAATTAATTATAAATTAAATATCGACCATCCTATAACCTATCGATAAAAGCAAACATCAAAACAAACTATTTTCGGGTTAGGAAAAACTTGTTATATGTTTGCAAATAATAAAATGTATTTGAATTAAACATAATCTTAAAAACAATTCTGTTTTTGCAACAATCAACCAACATTCCTTCTATTTTATTTCCCACAGCGCGTTCACACTGCCCCATAAGGTGACGCATCCCTGGTTGATTAATCGCAGAGAATATTGCCAGCCATTGCAAATGCGGAAAATTATTCTAATATTTCTACCGAAACAATGCCTAATGAGACATGTAACCTGCATTTGAACAAACTTTCTTATATATAAACAATCCTGCACAATCTGATGCAATATTCGCGTAAAGAATTTGATTCGAAAGCATAAACAACGTCGGAATACGGCTGTGTTATTTAATAATTTAAGGGCTTCTCCGAGTGCGTTAGCCGACAGCCAAAACAAAGATTCGCGGAGTCCGCCGATTGCGGCAGCAACAAAGTTTAAGCGAGGTGTTTGCATAATTTACATCTAAAAACTGGTAAGTCCGCAGAAAAGAAAATAAAATGACCCACATACTTACATTTGTACATATGTGTGGCGGTGTGCGCCTCATACATATAGGCACGCACACAACCTTGGCCTCGCACCTACGTCACCGACGAGCAACAGTGTTGAGACCAGTACTGGGAAATGCCCTCGGAAATCCTTACCAAATTTTGAAAATTAAAATTTGTAATAACTGAAAATTAATGTTATTTTGGATTTTCAGTGCAGGACTTGAGCATTCTCCCCCTACAAATTATTTCATTGGGTAAGTTTCTGAAAGAAATAGGTCAGTGCAAGCGGTTAACTTTCCTTTTCAATCATAATTTTGTTTAAAAAAAAATCCAAATATTTATTTTGCGAATATCTTTAGTGTGACCTCCCGACATTCATCCGCGAAATATCAGTGGCAACCGACACGCGTTCTTCTGCTTTTCACCAAATATGTCGTTTGGTCACACTCGCCACTTCATTATAACCTAAAATGACAAGTTGTAATTTTTTTTTATGTTAATTTTAGTGGAAACCGAACACTAGATCGTTTTTTAAGACCATTGCCGTGAAGTGCCGACCATTTTTGATTGCCTGCGCGACTGCTCCGCTGTGAATTAGCACATATCCCCACGATAATCATGTAAAGAAAACGTCACTCTAATATGTGCTTGTGCTGAGAGGCAGCAATGTAAATAAAATTGGAGCTGCTACCGAGGAAAAACTCACCGCAAAGTTAGAAACTTGGATGCCGAAGTGTTACTGGCAGTACGAGTAAATATAGCGATCCCGACAACGACATTTAGCACGAACCGTAGAGAACTGAGCGTGGTGGTGTCTGCGGATCTTGCGAGTGCTCCCATCCCGTCTAGACGCTACCATGCATGCGTCCTCCGCCGCGGCCACCGCACTTGTGGAGTACTCGGACGTCAGCTCGGAGGACTTCTCGGACCAGGAGGCCGGCGACTTGGACGCGGAGGCCGGCAAGGGAGCCGGAAACATCAAAAAACCAAAGCCAGCTGCGGATAGCCAGTTCCCCAAAGGTCGTCTTGGTGCCAAGCCCGATAAGGAGGGCTATGATAACTACAGGTAAGTGGCGCATACAATCCGATGCTAGTGAAGGCTATAACACCCCTCTTGCAGAAGTAGACGAGCAGAAGACTCAAACGATCCTGCTGCGGCCGGATCGAGGCAAACGTCGAGCAGCGAAGCCACCAACCCGCGGGAGGATCCCTCGCTGGCATCCAACACCTCGAAGGACGAGCTGTGGGGTAGGGAAATCTACATGTCCAGCGACTCCATCGATACCGACGAACTCGAGGCGGAGATGAAGCGGCAGAAGCGCAAGAAGCAGAAGAAGGACAAGCACAAACACAAGTCCAAGAAGAAGTCCAAGAAGCGCAAGAAGAAGCGGGCCAAGTCGTACTCCAGCATCGATTCGATGTCGGACAACGACATCAATGCCTTACTCGACCGGCGCTACACCCCGCCGACGGCTCCGAGCAAGAGCAACGAGCGAACGGTGAGCGCGGCGCCCTCCACGTTCACCCCACACAACCTCAAGGAGAGCAGTTCGCCGGCCACACCGCCGCCTGCTCGTCGCCCCAACGCCAATAGCACCTACTACGGAGAGTCGACGGTGGAGACGGCCAACACTGCCCTGGGCAGCAACCTGCAGGTCACCGTAACGAACAAGCAGCCGAGCAGCAGCCGCCACCGATCCCCTCCCCCCTCCACCCGCTCCAGTGGCAATGGTCCTAGGTTCGGAAACTCTCCGCGCACTCCTCCCCCCTCGCACTACACCTCCTCCAGCGGCGGTGGAGCTGGCAGTGGGTCAGTGGCTCGCGATTCCCGGAGCTCTCGCTATGTAAATAGTCCACACAAGGAGGAAGTGAATGCCCATCACCGCTCCAGCCACGATCACGGCTATCAGGGTCGTTACTCGGGTGCCGCTTCCAGCAGCCACGATGCCAGGAAGGTGAAACGACTGTCACCGGGTAGGTATAGCTTGCTTTTTGGTATGTTTAGTGTACTTATTTTGGGAGACTTCTCACAGAGCTGGACCGCTACAACCATCAGCCGAGTACACCGCCCCACAAGCGACGGAAGTTTGGCGATGGCAGGGATGTTGGCCCCGGGAACTTCGAGCACAGTAGGCACCACTCTAGCAAGTACGAACGCTACAGCAGGGATCGATACTCTAGGCGGTCATCAAGGTAAAGTTAAACCATATAAATTAACAGTCATTCAGTAATATTTTCTTATCTCTAAATGAACTTAGTTGTAAACATATTCAGTAATTTGATCTATAAATGTACCAAAAATATTTTTAAACTCTTTCAGGAGCCCCAGTGTCCAGCACTCTCGAAGCCGACAGTCTCCTGTGGGCGGCTTGTCGTCTGGCGGAGCTGTTTCGAACGCGTTCCGACATGGCAGCAGTCACAAACACAAGTACGGAACGACGGCTGGCTCGCCGACCTCCCACACGTCGAGATCCTCCAAGCGCGCATCGGGAACTGGTACCTCTGGTGATCGCTACTCGAGATCGCCGAGAACGAGCTCGCGCTACCTGGAGGCCTCACCCCCGTCGCCAGTCGGAGCTTCCAGCTCGCATCACCATCACCATCGACGCTCGCCAAGGATGCGGCAGAGGACCAGAGGAGGCAGCCGCCGTAGGTCACCCAGTTCGGCCAGCAGCGGGAGCTCCGCCTCGCGCAGCCGATCGCCCACGTCAAGGGACTTGAAGCACAAGCGCGAGGAGTACATCAAAAAGATCAGCGAGACAAGCCTTTTCGCCGAGTTGGTCAAGGACCGTCACAAGAGACAAAAAGCGCTGAAGGAAATCATAGAGCGGCAGGAGGAGAACAGCAATAGCAATAGCAACAGCAATGGTGCACTGACCATTAACGACAACAGTTCCTCGGTGGATGGCAATACGCCCAACATGGGTGATTGCCGGTCCGGCCCTGGAAGTGGAACGCCCGCAGCGGCGTCGACGACTTCCAATGGGCTTGAAGTCCTGGGTAGTAAACCAGATCTGGACCTCAACAACATTCCCATGCCAAACAAGGAGACCGAGACTCTGGCTCCGCTTCCAGGTCTCAATGCCGATGTTCCGGACAGCTCCACGCCGTTGAAGCAACCTTCGTTGGTACCACCTTTCTCGGCCAGCAAGAACAATTTAAAACCGAAGAGTCTGACCTCTCTGCCGCTGCCACCTGGGATGAATGCCCTTGACCTGGTTAATGCGAGATCTCCTTCGCCGGCGCAGAAAAAGGATTTGGACGAGAAGAACGTAAATTCCAGCGTTTGCGCCAACAAGAGCGTGCTTAATCTTCCGATGCCACCGGTAATTCCCGGCAGCGAAGAGCTAAGTGGCGACGATGATGTTATCGACAGTCCCGAAGATTTCGATGTCCCATCTGGCGGCAATGTCCACGGTCATGGCGGTGGGCAGGGAGGCACTCGTCGGCGACCAGTGATACTCAACCGTCGAGACTCGCGGAACAACGTTCGCGACTGGGGCGAGCGCTGTGTGGATGTTTTCGAAATGATTGCGCAAATCGGAGAAGGAACTTACGGGCAGGTACGAATTGGACGAATTGTTTATCCTTTGGGATATGCCTGATGACTTACTTTTATCCTTGCAGGTCTACAAAGCGCGGGATCATCATACCAATGACATGGTAGCACTGAAAAAGGTTCGGCTCGAGCACGAGAAGGAGGGCTTCCCAATCACAGCCGTACGCGAAATCAAAATATTGAGGCAATTAAACCATCGCAACATAGTCAACCTGCATGAAATTGTGACGGACAAGCAGGATGCCGTGGAGTTCCGTAAGGACAAGGGGTCCTTCTACCTGGTGTTCGAGTACATGGATCACGACTTGATGGGCCTGCTCGAGTCTGGCATGGTGGACTTTAATGAGGAAAACAACGCTAGCATTATGAAGCAGCTTCTGGATGGTCTCAACTACTGCCACAAAAAGAATTTTCTGCATCGCGACATCAAGTGTTCGAACATTTTAATGAATAACAGGTGGGAGGAAGGGTCAAAACATGCAACGACTGATAATTATTTAGAAAACATTCTAATTTTAAGGTTAATTTTTGGTTTTCGGAATTGAAACTATTTGTATGCTTCTTGCAGGGGTAAAGTGAAACTGGCGGACTTTGGTCTTGCACGACTGTACAATGCAGACGATCGGGAACGACCCTACACAAACAAAGTTATTACCCTTTGGTATCGACCGCCCGAACTGTTGCTGGGTGAGGAGCGGTATGGTCCGTCGATAGACGTGTGGTCCTGCGGCTGCATCCTCGGAGAACTCTTCGTAAAGCGGCCTCTCTTCCAAGCCAACGCGGAGATGGCTCAGCTTGAAACGATATCAAAGATCTGCGGGTCACCGGTTCCTGCCGTGTGGCCGAATGTAATTAAGCTGCCTCTGTTTCACACTCTGAAACAAAAGAAGACGCATCGCCGTCGCCTTAGGGAAGACTTTGAGTTCATGCCTGCCCCTGCACTAGATTTGCTGGACAAAATGCTGGACTTGGATCCGGACAAGCGTATCACGGCCGAAGATGCGCTCCGGTCGCCGTGGTTAAAAAAAATTAACCCCGACGAGTAAGTATATCCAGAACCCCGTGTGGGTACTACAAGCAATCAACAACCAACTTACACATTTGTTTATTTAAAGAATGCCAACGCCTCAATTGCCCACTTGGCAGGACTGCCATGAGCTCTGGAGTAAGAAGCGCCGTCGGCAGCTGCGGGAACAACAGGAATCGCTTCCTCCCACTGTAATAGCCTCGACCAAATACCAACAGCATGGAGCTGCCATGGTGGGAGATGCTTAGCAAATGCTGTTTGCTTCGCTTCTCAATGTTAGAGAGAGCTACAAACAGCGTGTTGGCGATGAGTGTTCCTGGTGGCACTAGTAACTAGCCGTAACTAGCAATAACGTAACCAATAAAAGGATTCTGTTATCCTTAGACAGGGCCAGACTAGCTTGACTTGGACTTGCTCTAGCCGCTGTCGAGTTTAAGACAGCTTCAATAAAGTCTTGGCTACATTTACAAATTGCTTTATATGTTGGGCAAATTTAATCAATCGCTGTATAAACGAAGTGTTATATATATTCGCAAAGATACATTTTTTAAAAGAGCATGGTTTTTATATATATTAATTTAATTTGCATTGCTACTAGTGTTTTTAATTTTGGAATATTAATTGGCAATCGGAAGAGATCGTGCACGAGCTGGAGTGTAAAGTTCAAGTATAGAAAGTGTAAACTAACTCAGAATGTATTCGTATCATCAAAGGCGATTTGTAAGTGACCATGTTTCAAAGCTACGAAATAAGCGTATATAGTGAAGCAGTTAAAGATTAGCATTTTAATTATAAACAAATTGTTAAATAATAATAGACTACAGATAGTGTATTGACTAGTTTAGTTTATTGCTAAGTATTTAAGAAAAGTGTAAATTATAAATGAATTTATCAAGTAAATATGTACTAATTTACCCATACGCAGGCATTTGATAAGTTTATATTTTAAATATGATGTTTGAGCGCACACAGCATCAGAATTTCTTAGCATGATGTGCGTGAGACTGAAATCGATCCACTCCAAATTATGTAAATAGGTTGAATATTGCTACCATTACACACACGATCAACAAAAGTAATATCTCAAAACGCAAATCAAATCGACTAAATTCATTTTTGGTACATCATACCCTATCTAAATAAAAGTGAAACATACAACGTGTACTTTAAATCATTTTGTAGCTAAGTAGGCTCTTTTAAATATCTTATTAGGTATATTCTTGTTAAAATATCCAAATTTTGTTTTTTTTTAAATACCTTTATTTTTATCGTAATTTTGGTTGTTTTTGTTGGGTGAAATTAACATATTTTTGTTCGTTTTTTTTTTTGTAAAACCGAAGAAGGTAAATTCCCCGTTCGTCTTTTTGATTCTATTTGTTGACTAAAGATTGAAAAAAAGTTGTATTTTTAAACCAGACCATAAAAAATGTATTTTAGTGAACATTATATCTTAAAAATTTATTTTATGACATCAAAAATAATTTATTCAAAAGTTAATTATTTTTCCGAAAATGTATGTTCTATGTCCTTGAATTTTTCCGCTGTTTACTACAAAGGTTCAGTTTTTCATTTTAGTTTTTTATAAAAAACATTTGGGAATATAACATTAAAATTAAGTTTTTAATAAACCTATTAAGGTAATACTAAACCATTGACGTTTCCAAGAAGTTATTCGTTGCAGCTGGTCAGGGCGTTTAATTTTTTAATTTCGAAATATAATGGAAAAGAGTGGTAATACGGCAATGAAAAATTATTCAAATCATAAAGTTCATAAAGTTTTTTCCAAAGACATTTAATTACAATTTTAACAAAAGTTCGAGACAAACGGTCACTCTAATTGAAAACCTTAGTATTTTTAGCGAGTAACGAAATGGTTTGGTATTTTCCAGTGGTCCCACTAAGTGCAGCATATAAGTGCGTTTCATCATCAGATTTGTATGTATATTGTGTCGTTCGCCTTTGTTTTTTAATTGCAAGCCCGTCAATTAAGAATTGGTTTTACGGTGTGTGTCCAACTACTCGGGATGACTATAGCTCGGTATAGGCCTTTCAGATGGGCTGAATTAGGAGCATAAACAACGAGAAAGGTTGCATCTGTGGGAGCGTGTATGTTTGTATACCTATACCTACGCGATTATTACGATGCACCTGGAAGGCCAAAAGAGAAATGCAGTGGAAAGTGGAGTGTACTAGCGAACCTTAGCCAGCTGAGTGGATGCACAAATTAACCAAAGTCCCTAACTGTTTTTAGGTCCTGGGGAACCCAGTCTTGGTCCAGACATTTTGAAAAGAAAGTGAGGAAAACAATGTGTGCGTGTATGTAAATAGATGTATTTTCTCATTCCTTTGTACCGAAAACAAAGCAAAGCTGATTAATACGAGCTCCCACAGTCGGGGGCGGAAGTATTGGCTAATTAAGATTCTTCTATTTCTCCTAATGTTGCCCGAAATACGCTTATCTTAAAATTATTTCTGATATCGTTAACGACGTAGTAAATCTCGACTCATTTTAAAATTGGGCCACTCATTGTTGTTTTTCTTTTTTTAGCTACTGGTAATTATTAAGCTTTTTATCCCCAACATAATGGAATTTTCCTTAAATAATTTGGTAAAATAGGGCAAAATTGCAATTGCGTTCTATTCTACAATAAAGCCCATTGTTTGAGGTCTATGATACGGGGGTGCATTTTTCCTAGTGGTGTGGGTGAACCAGTTTTCCACAACAGACCATCGAAAATTATACATCTAATTTTACTTTCCAAAAAGAAAACGCGAAAGTGCACTAGGAAAACTGAAATGCCTTTAAAAGCGCCATATATTTTGCGTTGTTCCAGTATTAGGCCAAGTCATTAATGGTTAATTATTCATTGTGTGAACAAATATTAAATTCTAGATTACATGAATACCATATAACCTTTTTAAATTACCCTTGCATTTACAATCGGACTGCAAGTACCAACATTTTTGCCCGCGACTGTGCACCCAACATCTAGGGATGTACATATGTAAGTAAAATGCATGTACATTATCCATACATATGTACAAAGTACCTACAAATGTAAAGCGTATGAAGTAAAATAGCCGAATGGAAATACCCTTGAATTGATTGATTTTACTCAGAGTTTGTGTATTGACGAAATTAGGTGGAGATTAGGAAACTCATTAGGTTGCATTTGTGTACGCTTTTTTGGTAGAATTACTTTTAGGTGCGCAATCAAAGGGTAGATTACAACAAGCGAACCAAAACGAAACTTAAAAATAACAGTGGGGTTCCATAAGGTGTTCTGGTGTCCCAATCAGCAGGCAGATTACGAACTGCACTCTTACAAAGTAGCTGGAATATAATGTGCCATACCTTCTCCGCAGGTCGTAGATCGAACTGCTATCAGCGAGTGCTATCAACTGCCAAAAACGGAGCCACAATCACGCTGACACCCCTTGTGCAATCGTCGACTCAGGCCGCCTAGGCCCATCAGGCAGCGGTCCAGGTTGGAGGCACTTGCTCGGGATCGGCATTGGGATCCGGGTCCGGGAAGAGGCTGAGCCTGCTTGTTGCTGCCGCGTTCGCAAAGGACTCAAAATTGATAGAAACAACAAAAAGGCTGCTGCAACTGGTGCCTCATCCGAGGACCAGCCGCCGCGCAAAAAGGGTCGTCGCTCAGGAGGCTCAGGCTTCACGTCCTCATCCGCCGTTTCCGTTTCCGCTGCCGCAGGATCAATAGATGCGGCATCCACGTCGCGAGCGGCCCAGCAGTTACAGCACCAATTGAACTCCTCAACCTCGGCAGGCCCCAGCTCGGAAGCATCGGGAAATCCTAGCAAAGTGCAGAGAAAATCGACAGACGGCAACAAGAGACCACGGGATCACACCAGCAGCAGTTCTCTCGGCTCCGAGGCAACCATGCAGAGCACCACTTCCACGTCGAGCGGCTCCTGCTCCAGGCCTCTAGAGGGTTCCACCCTCAATTCGGGCGGAAGCGCCGAGAACGTAGCCCGCGAAGGCGGCGGCAGTGGCGAGGACAGCGTCGGCATCGGGGATGAGAATCCCTCCGGCAGCAGCGCCGCCACCAATGGACACGACTCCAAACACAACGGCTTCGTCGTTAACAATAACGGCAGCAGCAGCCGCATCGTCGACGGCGAGAACAATCGAGAGAACACCAGCTACAGCGGCGTGCAGCTGGATAAGTCCAACCAGGAGATCATCCGGCTGATTGGACAGTACCTCCACGACGTGGGCCTCGACAAGTCGGTTCAGACACTCATGGTTGAGTCGGGATGCTACTTGGAACACCCCTCGGCCACCAAGTTTAGGGAGCATGTCCTAATGGGCGACTGGTCGAAGGCAGATTCAGACCTTAAGGTAACCAGATAAGCTTCTCATTACTTACTTATCCTCGTTAACAGCAAATCATTGGGTTCAGGACTTGCTTTAAGAGTTCGAGTAATAATCGTTTGAATAGATGAAGTACATATCATCGGAGAAGTCACAGAAATCTCTTCCAACCAAAGACGGTTGGTTTTGTGCATTGATTCGTAAGATCTAAAACTGATTTTGGTTGGAAATATTTTCTTTGACACCCCCTGATGCTTTAAGGGATTGAAAAATCAACTCATGTATTCCCCATTCTACTCTTACATTGCAGGACTTAGAGCCATTAATCGATAATGGAAAATTGGCAACGATCACCGAAATGAAGTTCATATTGCTAGAGCAAAAGTATTTAGAGCATTTGGATGATGGCAATCCCTTGGACGCCCTGCACGTTCTCCGTAGCGAGCTGACGCCCCTGCAGCACAACATATCGCGAGTGCACCAGCTGTCGTCGTATATGATGTGTTCCACCAACCAAGACCTTTACCAGCGCGCCAAATGGGAGGGAAAGGGCATCCTGTCGCGGGCCTTGGTCATGGAGCGCCTGCAGACTTTCATGCCGCCGTCGGTGATGATGTCGCCGCGCCGCCTGCGCACCCTGCTGCAGCAGGCCGTGGAGCTGCAGAGCCAGCACTGCCCCTGCCACGACATGGCGTGGGAGACGAACCTGGAGACGGTCTCGCTGCTCACTGACCACTGCTGCACCACGGACGGCTTTCCCATGCAGACCATTCAGATCCTCACCGACCACTGCGACGAAGTTTGGTTCTGCAAGTTCTCGCCCGACGGCCTTAAGCTGGCCACGGGCAGCAAGGACTCCACTGTGATTATCTGGGATGTTGATCCGTATAAGCTGACCCTCAAGCACAGGCGCGTCCTCGACGGACAGGCGCAGCTCAGCGTGAGCTTCGTCAGCTGGAGTCCCGACTCCAAGCTCATCCTCGTCGGCGGCACAGAGGACTCCCATGAGCTCTACATCTGGAACGTGGACGATGGCAAGCTGGTGGTCAAGTTCTCGCAGTCGCTGGAGGACAGCCTGGCCTGCGGTGCATTCAGTCGGGATGGCGCTCGCTTCGTCTGCGGCGGCCAGAAAGGTCAGCTTTACTTGTGCGACCTGAACGGCACCATCGTGGACTCCTGGGAGGGCGTGCGCGTCAACAGCATAGCCTTTCGGGCGGACAACAAAACGATCTTAGCGGCCGATAATCACTACCGAATCAGAGGGTAAGGGGGATTTCAGATTGGCTAGCTAACATTTAGAAATGTGTGAAACCAATAGGATTCTTAAAAGCTTTCTAAACAATTTCATTGTCATTTTTGTTAGTCATTTAATTTATTAATTCGTTTCAGGTACAACTTTGATAGCCCGCGTTCAGACTTTGATATTCTAAGGGAGCCACATCCCATTATGACCTTCAGCATCAACTCCGCTGACCGCTTGGCTCTGCTGAACGTCTCAAACCAAGGCCTTCATCTTTGGGACATCGAGGACAAGTGCCTAGTGCGCCGATTCCAGGGAATTCGACAGAGCAACTTCGCCATCCACTCCTGCTTCGGCGGCGTCAACGAGAGCTTCGTGGCCAGTGGCAGTGAGGACAAGGTCGTCTACATCTGGCACATCAAGCGCGAGGAGCCGTTGGCCAAGCTGGCCGGGCACACCAAGACAGTCAACTGCGTGTCCTGGAACCCCGTGTACCCGTCCCTGCTGGCCAGCGCCAGCGACGACGCTACCGTGAGGATCTGGGGACCCAAGCCCAACGGCAGTAGCGCAACGACTGAGAGCGACGATTGCTCTTCTAGCTCGTCTTCGTCCTCCTGGAATATGACTTAATGTAGCGGGCCGTAGCAAATGGATGTGCGTGGGGTAGATTTTGGATGCTGATTTAGTTATAGTGCGCCCTGATTTCGATATAAATGCAGAATGCGTCCCGCTCTGATTGCGCGTCGGTGTCGTCGTTGCTACAAACTGCCATTACAACAATATGTATGAGCAGCATGACTTACGATTAGCATTAATTACTTAAGTACATTCATACGAAAGGAGAGGCATAACATCATATCTACTATGCTATAACAAGAAATCAATTCGTTCTCAGATTTCTTTTTTATGTATGTTTATGGCAATGCGAAGTAATATTTCCCGGCCTATATTAGCGACTTCTCTAGACCTTTTTAATTATCAAAAGTGGAATCGACCTGCTTGGTTTTAAAATTATTAATTAATTATTGCCATTTGATTTGTTCTATGCAGTTTCCGACATTTAGTATGTAACACGATTTGACGTATTTCATAACCAACAGACACAATAAAAATAGATCTATATATGTTTTTAAAATGTCTATGTTTTCCTTTCGATTATCCTGGGTCTAAAGCAATCAATAAAATTTGAGTGAAAATTAAGCATGCTCTTTTTTTTATCCATTTCAGTGTACAGTGGTTTGTGGGTGATCTATAATATTTTGGATTTTTTAGTCAAGACTAATGGATAATCTTAAATTATCGCTTTATTTGTTGGAAAATAAATATTTTAAAACTGAACGTCAAGAAATGAAAGTACTTGAAAACTGAAATAATCTTACTAATTTTAAAATGCTATCCTGCAATTTTTAGGATTCACAGCGATTAGTTTATGACATGGTTGGCGATAACATTTATCATAGGAAATTGGTTTTCTTTTGTCAGCCTTTTATGAACAAGTTTTTAGACAATAATCATTTAAGTAAAATTCGTTTCCACCACAAGAGACACAAACTGCCTAGCAGTTTCCTTGAAGGCGAAAGCCAGGACAACCAGTGCCAGAGCCCACCACCGAAGGTTCTTCCTGTGCGCTCCAACAGCTTCATATGCGAGGACCAGTGAGCAGAGGTGATGGCCCATGACCAGAGCATGATGCAAACTTCTACCAAAAACGGTTGTATTATTGCGCCAGACCAAAATGGGCAGGAGGAAGAACTTGGACAGGTTGGAGATCAGCACCACTTTGAAGATAATTAAAGTAAACCTGCGAAGTCCCGTTTTCTGAATCCAATCGACACTAAGTGTGGCTGTAATTATAAGCAGCAGTAACGTCATAAGCAGGTAATCTAGGGAATATAGAAATAGATAGAAAAAATCGCGTATAACCGAAAACCAAGGTTCAATACCTCCCATATTTTGAAGCGTATATGTATAGAAACCCTTTTCATGGACGTGTAATGAGGCATTCGGAGGATCAGGGAGCTTTTGGCGGCACAGCGCGAAGGATTCCAGGAGCAGCACCACCAAAGAAACCTTCCAATAAAGCTGAAATATCAATGATCTTAGAGCTATTTCCTGCAAACGACTCCGTAAGGTCTTAAGTTGTTCACCTTAAAGTCTCCATTGTATATTATGTGGCGGAAGGCGCATGAATCCAACAGAAGTGCATCTATTAATATTATGAACTCCTCGAACTCGATGTATTTATCTGTGATTTGCTGACACTTATCCTGCAAAATGTAATTTAAATAAAACAATCTGATTTCGATGTTTTACTCTCTTACGCATTGGGTGGTTTTCAGAGTATTGCTGTATTTCTTAAAAAGTTCCTTGACTCTGTGCCCACAATTAATGCACACGAATCTCTTTTTTTCTGTCATGCTTTAGTAAATTAAGTTAAATATTAAGTTAAATTAAGTTTTAAGTTACTTCCAGACCAACAACTTTGGGGAAGGTTTTTTTATTTTGGTGCCGCATAAACAAACATTTTTATCAATCAGCTGATTAGTATTACCGTTTCCAGAAAACTTAATAATACAGCAATACACTTTTTAACCAGTAAAAGTTTGAAAACACCTCCATATTATGGTTTAAATCACACAATTTATTCTAGGTATTCCCTAATACCGCTTAATAACAAATAACAAATAGTGACGCAAATTGCAACAAATTAGAAACGTTTTGAGTAAAAACTTTGCAGAAAATTCTGAAAGTTGACTTTGTATGAAACAGCTGACGAAAATTCAACGCCAATCACAAAAAGAATCCACCGGATGACCGTCGTCCATTTGGTAGGCTAAAGTATTAACAGGTTTTCCTTTTCTCCTACCACGGGGACGAATAATAAATTATTTATTTAATGTATGTATGTTTTAAACTGCTTCATCTAGATTTATTTATTTGAAGGTACATCATGAAACGTTTAGGAAAAATTTAAACTGTGTTTATTTAAATTTGTAAAATTGCCTTAAAAGCAGACAAATGAAGTGCAGTCCTTGTCCTTTCTCCTCTTTCTGAAAACAAAAATAAACCTGCGATATAAATCGAAAGTTTTATAAGTTTTTTAGTTTAGCAAACTAAAATTTATTAGCAGGTTTATTCATTTAGAAATATTGTATAATCAGTCGTAGGATCAGAAATGGTAAAAAGTTTGTACCAAAGCGAATGCTTTCCTTGATCGTTTATATTGGCTTAGAGTCTAAGCCTTAGACCTTACGATTACTACCTAAGAAGTCGGCCTAGATTCGTAGAGCTAAAACAGCAAATATATTCCCCAACTACAGAGAATTTCAGTAGTGCTTTTTTTATTCATTTATTTTTTTCTGAAACTTGGCAATGAAGAAACCCACCGTGTCTGAATTTTCCCCACTGGGTCCGAAGCGCTGCACCAGCCGCGAATTGGTTTCATTAAAATCGGGAAGCGGAAGACCAGGACCGCCCCAGCGGGGCGTGGCATCAACCAGTCGCAGCTCGGAAAACTTCCTCAACGCCCAGGATACCAGGCACTCGCACTCCTCCTCTGTGACGGTGCATGTACTATATACGAGAGTTCCGCCAGGCCGCAGAAGCTGCACCGCCTGCAGGAATAGACGGCGCTGAATATTGGGATACGAATGCAGCACCTTCGCCTGCTTGATGCTGCAGGAAAGCTGTGGCCGGTTGCCGAGGCCACTGCAGGGGGCGTCCAGCAAGATGCGGTCGAAGCTGCCACAGGGGAAAGGAGGCCCACTGAGTTCTCCTCTGGGTGCCAGGTCAGGTGCCACTGCCTTGGTGGAGTCAAACACGTGCGCTGTAATGCTCTTGTAACCTGCCAATTTGGGCACCATGCTGCGTACGCGACTTGCAGAGTTGTCCAGAGCCACCACGGATCCCTGGTCGCACATTAACTCGGCTATATGGCTTGTTTTGTTGCCAGGGGCAGCACACATGTCAAGAACGCGTTCGCCGGGCTGCGGATTCAGGACGCGGACGCACACGATGGAGGGAAGATTCTGCAGCAGGGCATCTTCGTTGCTCAAATCGCCCAACGGGGGCACCCCGCTGACGTTAGACTGCATTTCCACGGCGATTCCACTGGCGGGTTTGTCAAGGTTGTTGAAAAGCTGATAGCGTTGCATCAGCACCTTGCCAGTGCCCAGAAAAATCTTCTCAGAACTGGAGTATCGGGTAACCGACCCGCGCTTGCATTTACCAGTCAGATCTGCATACACGCTAACCAGTTCCTGCAGCTGTGCGTTGGACTCCATAGCGAGAACGCCGGGCGCGTATATATGGGCGCCTCGGAGCAAAGCAGCCCCGCAACAAGTGTCCACTATGACCTCCTTCAGGTTGGGATCAACGGAAACCTCCGTCAACCGCGCCGCCAGCGGTTCAATGCACAACACCTCTGGCAGTTTCGGCAGCCCATAGACCTTTGGGGATTCCTGGCCGTAGCGAGCCACGAGCTTCTCCTCCAACTTTTCCCGGAAGGCCTCAACGGACATGCGAAGAGTGTTCACCCGATACGTGGTGACCTTCGGCGTCCGGCACAGCCATTCCAGCAGTGGAGCAAGGGCAGCCGACTAGAAAGAACAGGGCAGCTTAGCTTACCAAATTTAAAAGCTAGTGTTGCTCAGCGAGGATCCGGGTTAGAAACATAGTGTGGCTTACCTACATTCACTTTCAGGATCTCGGCCTCCAGCAGGGGGTTCCCTAAAAATGGGCTTTTTGGGTAAAACATGCGTGCAGTGGATATGATCAAATTTTAACTAGAGATGTGCAAAAATATCGATATTTTTCAAACCAGAAATATACATACAGTGGGTCACAGCTTATTTCAACCAGTCTAAATATAATAATTTATATAATATTATTTATTATAGTAATTTATATATTATTTATAATATACAATTAATAAATTAACGTAGTGGCTTTTTTTTAACTTCTTTTTTTAAATTTTGCATGACTACCCTTTTGTTTACCAACAATATAAAGTTAACTTTACATGGATACAATGCCTTTTGTTGTTGTTGCCAAGTAAAAACTTCTCTCGACCCTTGGGAAGGACTTTTGGCATAGTTTCGTCTAAAAATATTGTGTTTTCTAACATTTTTTCGTTAAGTGAACTTCCAATTTTGTTTTGTGGTAATGGTAAGACACATTTAATTCATAATCATTAGCTTTCGACAGCTCTGGATGAGCTGAATCTGCGAAAAAATATGCACTTCCCATGGGTCATTTCTTTATAGGGTCATCTCTTACAGTTTTTAATTCATTTATCCTTTTGAATGTGAAGATGAACTCAAATCTTAATCGCGGAGTAAAAAAAAAGAAATTATGGAAGGACCTGTTTGACACTTATAGGCCCAAAACAATTAGCGATTACTATATATACAGGAAGAAATGAAAATCTGCTGTGATGGTCCAATCATAATGAGTGATAAACCAATCGAAAGGTATCGCAAAAACTTTAAGGATTGCATACCAAGACTTTAAGAAAATCAATTGGCTTGGGAGAGAGAGCGGTTTAAACTTCAAAGTCATTTTATATGGTGATAAACAGCTCGATATAAGAAACATTAGTTCTACTACTTTTGGAAAAACTCGCTAGTTTAGCGGGAAAACAGCTATAAATGGCTAAATTTTGTAGACTTGCGAAATACTTAAGCTACAGACTTGTGCTTTACCTCATATGAAAAATGAGAAGATTTTAGAAAGTGTATTTAATGACGAGTGTAATAATTTTTCGTCACAAATGTTGATATCAAAACTTTTGTATGTTGAAGGTGCGATCGTCACTTAATTTTTTACCTCGTTAAGAGGTGTTTTTATTTGATAATATATACTGAAATTTTTTAGTTTAGCTAAGGATCAAACTAATTAGAAACTAATATTGGGGCAAAATAATGAAATATGTTTTATTTAAGTTTAAAGGCTTGGTGGACTGTTTCGTGCCCATATGTTTTATAATATACGAATGTACGTCCATTTTATGTAAAAACTTTTGTAATCGCCACAACTCTTTAATCTCGTTTAAAATGTTTTTGTTGAAATGAAAAAATTTGAAAAAAAAATAATTGGAATAATAATAATTGGAAAATAATAATACATTTCATAAGTCACAACTCGAAGCTTTTAATAATTAGTCTGGAATGTCAAGACGTTCCAAATCTAAGTTGTGAGACATCAAAATATAAAGATATATATGGGCCGTTCTTTTACAAACCGAACAGATTTGGCCAAAAAAAAAATTTCACATTTTTGATTTGCCTGAAACTTTTTTTACACGTACTATTCGGAAAATAAGTAAACACGTGTATCAGGATTTGACCGAAAAAAAATTATTTTCCTAGTTTGAATTTTTTTAAGTGTGCCAAAAATTGTCAAATTTGAAAAAGTACCCTCTCATTGAAAATCTGTATCTCCGGTTATATGAATCCAATTGACTTCATGTCTTTTGCATTAATTCCTCTAAAACCTCTCCTTTCAAAATAAAATTTCTTAAAAAAAATGTTTTTTTAATTTCTTAAAAATAAAAACAAATTAAGATTAAAAAAAATTTTTTAACTATTGCCCCCACAAAAAAAAAAAAATTTTTTTATTTTAATACTTGCGCCATATTGTTAGTTACAATCGGTTTTTGTAAAAAGTTGGAGCCACTAGATCTACTCTCTCACTCTTATCGGATCCTAATGGAATTTATGTTTTCTCATTGTTTACTAGTCCTTTAACAATTGTTAATGATTAAAAGTTAAGTTTTAAGTTTTTTGACAATTTCTGAATGACAAAAAGTAAAAAGTCATTTTTTAATCAATTAAAAACTTACAACTATTTATTTAACCGTCTATTTAATAAACAATAATTTTAAATTTATTTTATTTATTATTTTTTTATATTATGTAATTTATTAAACATTTTTAAATATTTTTTTTTAAGTTTTTAAAATTTAATTAATTTTTTTTTTTAAATTTAAAAATAAATATTTAAAAATGTTTAATAAATTACATAATATAAAAAAATAATAAATAAAATAAATTTAAAATTATTGTTTATTAAATAGACGGTTAAATAAATAGTTGTAAGTTTTTAATTGATTAAAAAATGACTTTTTACTTTTTGTCATTCAGAAATTGTCAAAAAACTTAAAACTTAACTTTTAATCATTAACAATTGTTAAAGTCATTTTTTAATCAATTAAAAACTTACAACTATTTATTTAACCGTCTATTTAATAAACAATAATTTTAAATTTATTTTATTTATTATTTTTTTTATATTATGTAATTTATTAAACATTTTTAAATATTTTTTTTTAAGTTTTTAAAATTTAATTAATTTTTTTTTTAATTTAAAAATAAATATTTAAAAATGTTTAATAAATTACATAATATAAAAAAATAATAAATAAAATAAATTTAAAATTATTGTTTATTAAATAGACGGTTAAATAAATAGTTGTAAGTTTTTAATTGATTAAAAAATGACTTTTTACTTTTTGTCATTCAGAAATTGTCAAAAAACTTAAAACTTAACTTTTAATCATTAACAATTGTTAAAGGACTAGTAAACAATGAGAAAACATAAATTCCACTAGGATCCGATAAGAGTGAGAGAGTAGATCTACTTGCTGCGACGTTTTTTCATAGAAAAAAGCCGAGGCCTTGCTAAAACAAATTCGATATTTTAAAAACTAAAAGTGGCTCCAACTTTTTACAAAAACCGATTGTAACTAACAATATGGCGCAAGTATTAAAATAAAAAAAAATTTTTTTTTTTGTGGGGGCAATAGTTAAAAAATTTTTTTTAATCTTAATTTGTTTTTATTTTTAAGAAATTAAAAAAACATTTTTTTTAAGAAATTTTATTTTGAAAGGAGAGGTTTTAGAGGAATTAATGCAAAAGACATGAAGTCAATTGGATTCATATAACCGGAGATACAGATTTTCAATGAGAGGGTACTTTTTCAAATTTGACAATTTTTGGCACACTTAAAAAAATTCTAACTAGGAAAATAATTTTTTTTCGGTCAGATACTGATACACGTGTTTACTTATTTTCCGAATAGTACGTGTAAAAAAAGTTTCAGGCAAATCAAAAATGTGAGCCAATAAAAGGTGTTCGGTTTGTAAAAGAACCGCCCATATATACATATATGAGTCATACTCGGGAATACCGATCCGTGTTCCCGAAAATTACTCAATATAATCTTGACAAGACCTTTCCGAAACTTGTAGTAAACGCTTAGCAGCGCAACTAAAATAATTCCAAAATCAGTTAATTCTAAACATTCGACTGCAGCAGTTTTGAGCTCTTAAAATGTCAAACTCAGTAGTTTATATTTGCTTTGTCCTTTTGGCATTCAACTTGTGTAGACTGGCAAGATCGCAGGATGAATCTCAGGATAGTTGTTCGGTTTGCGTAGTCAAGGATGCCCCAACTCAATGTGGGTCCTTTGTTCATGCGGCCCTGCATCCACTGTACGATAACGTAGAGAACATTCACCAGCATTTAAAAAACCAAGCCAACAAATTGGAAACGATCGAACGACAACTGGCAGGGCTACAGAAAAATACAGAAGATAAGGCGACATCCTTGCAGAATACAATTAAAAACACAGTTCAACAAGAGCTCAAGGCGATGCTAAACCAGATTGAAGGACTTCAAAGTCAACAGACGAAATCCTTGAAGATACAGCAAGGAACAAAAGCGGCACTGACCGAAATCAAAAAGGAGCAGATAGAGATGCAAACGGCTTTGGAAATTGATGCAATTTTCATTAAAGAACAGTTATCATATTTGCGGAATTTTAAACCTTAGAGCCTTGATCGTAGAGCATATTAACTTACGTTGGACCTCTGCAAAAATCTACTGTAAAATCCAGGGTGGTACTCTAGCATCAATACAAAGCCAAGAGGAACTGAATGCCATTAATGCGAAGCTAAATAAAAATCGTACTTACTGGCTGGGAGTTAAGGGCACGTTCGTTTCCCAAGCCTTTGATAAACCATATCTGTGGCGTTCTGGGAAACCAAAAAACAATACAGAAAAGAATTGCGTCTTCGTGATTAACGGCGAAATGGGAACTAATTATTGTGTTGCTGTATATAATTTTATTTGCGAAAAAAACTAACTATTTGTTAGGCTTATTTACAATCAAATAAAAACACCTCTTAACGAGGTAAAAAACTACACTCAAAAAATTATTTTTTCTTAAATATAGAAAAAAAAAATGTGTCTGTGCCAGGGACCCTAACTGTTATGAGTTTTATGTTAAAAATCACATTTAAACAGTTATTTTCTGATTTGTAAAGTAAAAGTCAAAGAATAACTGTTATTTTTTGAGTTTTATAATAAAAGTTGTCAAATAACCGTTATTCGTCGTGATCAAAAATAAAACTCAAACTTGATTTATGGCGATTTTGTGGGTAAAACAAATTTTAAAAAAATATAGTTATACAATATGCACGGTTGGCTTTTTTTTAAAGATTTTTTGTAAGTTATATAAAACTCGGTTAGCATGTTTTTTTTTAATAATTTCATTTTTTCAAAAATGTCAAGAGAATAACTGTTATACATAAAAATCAACAAATAACAGTTATTTTTGACTTTTATTATAAAAATCAAATAAATAAAAATCATTACGGATTTGTAAACTACAATGGCTTACAAAAATAATGGTGTATTTCAAAAAATTTTTGGACTCTTCTAAGTGCATGATTTTTTTCAGGGAACGAAAATAACTGTTATTTTTGTTTTTT